GTAAACCAAGAGTGGAATTACTGGATCATTCAATAGATCTATTTTTAATTTTTTGGTAAATCTGCATATTGTTCTCCATGATAGTTGCATCAATGTAACAGTTTATGATACATTTTCTTCACCTCTTCTCCAGCACCTGTGCTGTCTTGTCTTCTGGATAATGGCCTCTCATAAGTTTTTTTTTTTTTTTTACTTTTTTATAATTTTACATATTAGCCTCTCACAAGATTGAGATTGGATGTGGTTGTGACTTTGATGCACTTATTCCACAATAGAGGAACCTAACATCTTTTCATGAGACTGTTGGCTATCTGTCATCTGCAGAGAGAACCTGTTGAGATCTGCTGATAATTTTTAATAAGACTGATTTCTTTTTTATGTTGAATTGTATGAGTTGATTATAATTTTTAGATTAATTCCTCATCTGATATTCAGTTTGTAAATATCTTCTCCCATTAGTAGGTCATCTATTTCTTCTAATGGTTTCTTTCACTGTGCAGAAGTTCTTTAGTTTGATGCAGTCACACTTGTTTATTTCTGTTTCCCCCACTCCTTGATGTTGGAGTCCAATCCCCAGAGTCATCTCTAAGGCTGGTGTTAATAATACTAATTGCCTCTGTTTTCTCTCATACATTTTATTGTTCCAAGTTTTCATTAAGCTACATGTCAATATTCTATGGTCTATGCTTCTTTCCCCATGCTTTAGGTCATACCTTCATAACCTAGTGAAATTCTAGGTAACTGGGTAAAATCATTAAATCAACTCAACAGAAAAATACTCTGCAGAAACAATGAGTGTAATTGCAAGTTTTAGTCCCGGGGCATTGATCAAGAATCAAATGCCCACAGTACAGACACCCTGCTTATGCCAAAGTGACTTCATAGTTTAACCTCCAGAAGACAAAGAAGGGTTGAAAGGGGCTTAGGTTTTTTGCTCAGTTCAGAATTTTCTGAATGTGACTGACTTCAGAGATCAGGACTTTGAACTAAATGTCAGCTGCCCACCCACACTGACAGCTTCTCCTTCTGTAGGAGAAAGAATTTTTTGAATATGCTCTGGTGAGTTTCCTTTAGTTCTAAAAGGATAGATTACACAGAAATATGAAATTGCAATAAATTACTGGTTTGAGTTAATGAGAGATGAGCCATTTCTATTTAACTTGTAAAATATGAAATAGTATATATGAGCTTTGGTTATTTAAACAGAAATTATGAATCTGGTAGATAACATTGTAAACTTCATTTCCAGAAACATTTTGTTGCATACAGTTCCCATCGCCCTAGCAATGCCTTTCATGATGTAACCATCTTGGAAGTAATACAGTGTGAATGTGTGTCGGGATGACACTCTGATACTCCTTGTACTAATATTACTCATTGACTCTTACAGTTGCCAATTATAAGCAATACGAGGGGCTTCCACATCAGAAATCACAGATAAATTGTTCAATTATGGTGGAAAAGTTAAAAAAAAATTGGGAATGAATCAAACATATTAATAAGAGTAAAGTAACCAAATAGTTAATCTTCACAAACTAAGGATCATAAAGAAATGACAAATAAAAATTGATAGACCATGATAAGAGACTGTGCTTCTTGTCATTACCACTAATTCAGCCTTCTGATTTCTTCTAATCCTAAATTCTGGGGTAGAGAAAATTCAGAAAAATTCTTGACTGTACATGTTAATGGACTTTTTTAAACATAGAGAAAAATATTTTCAAAGCAAATAGCTAGTAAACATCATTAGATATCACAGTTCATACACTGAATAAGGACTTTTGCTATGCTTTAAAAACATTATATCTACTTAAATTTTAAATATTAATTTTAAAAACATGAAAATTCACCAAAAACTTTGATAGTATTGGTAGACATTGAATGCCTCCTTATCTAAAAGACAGTGAAGAAGCTGGATGCAATGAAATAGTAGAATGAAAGATGTAAAAATCTGGATCTTTATTAAATGTAGGGCTTCAGAGAAGAAAAAAATGGCACTCTTCATCTTCTCTCTTAAAGTAACAGCACATAATGAAAGGCAAAATTATCCTGAAATATTACCTAAAAATGTCTCTTTTTTTCCCCTTGTTTCTTCACTCGGTGTTAAAATTGAGGTAACTGTATAGTAGCTACTAGTTAGATATTAATAATCCATAATGTAACAAAGATTTTTTCACCTACCCACAAACGCACAATTTATGTATAAATTATACATAAATATGCATTTCTATATGTATAATGTTAAAATAATTATAGGGCCTCCCTGGTGGCACAAGGGATTAATCTATGAAACCATCCACAGCCACTACAGAGTGAGTTCTATCCTGGGCCAGGGAGCTACTACCCACATGGCACAGCAGACCTCTCCTGTCTCACCCACTGCTCCCCTCAGCAGTGTATTTCAGTCATTCTGCCTGTACTGTTCTCCACTTTGTCTCTGGTATATCCTCTCATCCCCCACACCTCTGGCCTGTACCCAGCTCTTATATGCATGAGTAAATCTTTATAATAATAATAATAATAATAATAATAATAATAGTATATTTTTTTCCAAAATGCAGAAAAGATAGTAAAATTTAGAATATGAAAACAAAATTTGCATTTAATTCCACTATATATCCACTGTTTAAATTATTACAATAGTCAATTTATTTTTTAAAGATTTATTTATTTATGCATATGAATGCTGGGGTGCAGGCCAGAGATAGAGGGAGGTGAGAAGATTTACCAGAGACAGAGAGGGAAGCAAAATAAGCAGATTCACTGAAATACACTGCTGAAGGGAACAGCGGGCAAGACAGGAGCGGTCTGCTGCACCATATGGGTGGCCTGGGATTGAACTCTTGCTGCAGTGGCTGCGGATAGCTTCGTAGTGCTGCGTCTTAATCTCTTGCACCACCTGGGAGGCCCCAATAATAGTTGATTTAAAGTAATGGTAAGACCAAACAAAATAGTTCCAGTTAAATCAAGCAAAATATTTTCATGCATGTGGAATATATTGTTTTTATTGGGTTCCAAGAAGAAAAATAAGCAACCTTCTCCCAGATACATAGAAATAGAAGTTCTTAGAGCCTCCAGAAAACTCACCTATGAAGTATCAGTTAAAAGAGATTATGCCTGGATGAGTCAATGTGTCATTTTTATTTCTAGAGATGTTAGGTGTCATTTTCAGTCTCTCTCCAATATTGTCTAAATGTAAAATATTTGGTATAATATAACAGTATTTTGATATTCCTATGGAATACACAAACATATGTGCATACACAATAAGAGTGAATCAAATTTTAAGTAAATTTTACTTGATATGCAAGGGGCTCCCTCATTAGTGCAAAATTGTTTCAATCTCAAACTTAAATAAATTCTCAGTTAATTTGATGGTAGGTTACTGTCCCAACCAGCGGGATTCATAGGCACGAAAAGAGAAGGGCTAAGGATTGGAATGAGGGGCTTGAGACAACTTGACGCTAGTGGTTGCGCAACACTGCGCATGCTCTGGACAGGTTACAGTCAATTTTTTTTTTTTGCTGCAACACTACTTTTTAAATGAACATAGTTTTCTAAATATGATTTATTCAGAAGATTATTTAGATTGTCATCTAGATACAATTTTTTGTGGTTTAACACAGAAAATTTCAAGACTTTTGCTAAATAATTTGCTCCTTTCCATAGAGAATGCACAAATTAGACCATACTGCTTGTGTGTTTTATGCTTGTTCTGTATTTATATAAAATAAGCATTATATTTAATATTTTTAATATTATTTTATTGATATAACATTGGTTTATAACACTATATGATTTGGGGATCTACATTTTCATTTTCAGATGTATGAAAGCACTGGTTATCTTTATTAATAATTAACAGTATTAATTATTTTACTTTTGTTCTTAAATAATAATTGGGTACAAAAATACAATTCATATTTATTTAATAATTTAATTAAGAATTCCAGTAAATTATATTTTCAAGTGCATATTAGATATGTTATGTCTAAAAAGTTACACTGGGAAATTTTAATTTTTCATTTTATTTGTAAAATAAAATTTTTCAGATGAGTTTTATGATGTTTTGTATGAATGATAATGATTATTTATATATCATAATTATTGCATAAATAATATCAATTTTGAGTTTCATAGTTTCATTTAAAGAGAAAATACATAGAAAAATGAATATTTCCCTCATATATAAAAATTAAATTGCACTTATAAATCAATTGTAGATAGAATGTCGTATGATTAGGTAGAATGATTCATGACAGAGAATGGGAAGCTAAGAAACATTTATAAATGCAATTGTGTGGACTGAAACACTTTTAATGTAAATGAACATTGACTGTTCTGGACCTCTATTAATAAAATTCTGTACTTTAAAGATCTTATAAATTTTGTTATGTACATTCAATTTTCATCCTCTTTGATGAAATGGGCAGTACTAAATTTAGGACTTTGTTTACCCATGTTTCCCTAACTAAATCAAAGCATATTAAAATTGCTTGACGAAGTTATCAGTATACAGAACTACTTCATATTTGTGATGAAGTGTTATTATCTTAAATGGCTTCTTGCCAAACTTAATTGAATCCAAGCTAGGTTAAGAGGTTAACTAACTTCCAATTTTGTTTCATGGCTCCAGTTTGTTTTGCAGGCAACAATACAGGGGAATTAAGGACTATGGCTAATTTCACTGAGTGGGTTTGTTCTGATGGGATTTTCAGACAAGCCTGAGCTAGAACTCATCCATGTTTCCCTGATCTTGGTGGTCTTAACAGGTAATATCCTCATTATCACAGCAATTTCCATGGACAATAGTCTCCACTCACCCATGTATTTCTTCCTGAAACATCTCTCCTTCTTGAATCTGTGCTACATTTCCATGACTGTACCAAGGTCCATTTCCAGCTTTTTCATGCATAGTGGCTACATTTCCCTCGGGCAACGCATAGTGCAGTGTTTTGCTTTCACTCACTGTGCTGGCCCTGAACTTTTTATGCTCACAGTGATGTCTTATATGATCGCTACCTGGCCATCTACCTTCCACTGTACTACGAAATCATCATGGATGCCAGCACCTGTGTTCGTGGAGTTGTAGGTGTCTGGATCAGTGGGGTCATTTCTAGTGTCATGCACACAATTGCCACTTTCTCCATGCACTTTTGTGGTTCCCGTATCATTCACCAGTTCTTTTATGACATCCCCCAACTCCTGAAAATCTCTTGTTCTAATGAGTATACCAGCAAAGTTGGTGTCACTGACTTGTTGAGTATTTTGGCATTTCTTTGTGTCACATTAATTGGACTGTCCTATATCCAGATATTCTCTACTGTGCTGAGGATGCCATCTCCTGAGGGCAGAGCTAAGGCCTTTTCCATTTGCCTTCTCCACCGTGCTGTTGTCATTTTATTTATTTCTACATGTGGCATTGAGTTTTTCCAGCCACCTTCTGACTCTCCAAGTACACTGGATATTTTTCTCTCTATTATGTACACAGTTTTGCCTCCAACACTCAATGCAATGATCTATAGCTTGAGAAATAGAGCTATAAAAGCAGCTCTAAGAAAGGCTGTCAGAAAAAGAAAAGCTGAATTCTTTAGTTGATGCATATCTATTAAATCTTGGTGGTAAGAGAAATTAAAAATATATGGGAAAACTGTTGGCTGAAATAAATTGCGACAAGAAAAAATCAATTGAGTTCATTAAAGAAAATATGTCGAGGACCCAGGTCTGAGAACAATCTGCATATAGTTCTGGAAAAGCAGTCTGAAAATGGAGCTTCTCAATGAGGACCTTATACAATTTGCAAGTAAAACATGTCAAGGATCTGGATAGGTGTATGGTTTATATAATAGCTGATGTTGTCTGTATATCAAGGAAAACAAAGAGTTAAAAAAGTACCCTATTTAGAGCTTCATCTTCTGGGAACTGGGAGTTTCAGCTGTTTCTTCAATGCTGAAGTCTGTCTTTCTTTGAAGTTAGTGATTTCCACAGAGACAGCAGTTTCCAAAATGTTACCTTTCCACAAATCATCTTTTTCCTGGGAACAATATTTTAGGACTTGGGCAGTTGCATCTTCGCTCTTGACTTGTGCTTTGTAGTTGCAAATAGGAAAAGTGGACCACAATTTTGTATTTGGTTTACCAAACCTGACATAGTCAACCACAATTTTTAAGGTAAATAAATGAACATAGGAGAAGTTGCCATAACTGTGCTATCTGAGTAATACAAATATTCACACATATAGCTCTATAAACATTACTTCTGCAAATTTAGAATAAAATCTCACACCATGAAGTGTGAAAAAAATTATAATTTTTTTTAAAAATTAGAAATCCTCCATGATCATTTCCATCAGGGTGATGCAAAACAGTTAATATGAGGTTCTTTTCTTATTGCTTCCTGAGTTATTGGAGTTGGGCTATCACATGATATCATGCACTGATAGAGAACACCTGGCTCCCAGCACCCCTGGGTCCTTGTAGAGCTCCACTTAGGCTCTCTCAACCTGGAAGGTCTCTATGAGTAATTTACTGAGGTCACACTGCAAAAATCTCGTTATACCTTTTCTTTGCCTCTTTAGAATCAACGGATTAATTGTTGCTAATGTAGGGGAAATGCTAAATAACATATTAATCTGTTAGTCCTCAGGAGTACATGTTTCTAAATCTTAAAATGATTAAAAGAAAAAATAAAATATTACTAGACTATACCAAAATAATTATATATACTAAAATAATTGTGGCAACAAAAAGAATAGCTATCTAAAAAATGGACAAAAATATTGTGTAAATATAATGCATAGTGATCCAAATTTAAAAATCAATGGATGAATTAATATCAGTTCATTGTTTTGTCAAAGGATGATACAAGTATGATAGATTCTAACCTCTTCAGCTGATATGTGTTCATGCTTATAAAACATTGTAAATTAATGTATATTCCCAGTACTTTATTACAGCAAGAACTTTATTTTTTATTATTTTTTAAAGATTTCTTTATTTATGAATGCAAGAACTAGGGTACAGGCCAGAGATGCAGGAGATGAGGATTCATCAGAGACAGAGTGGGGAACAGAACAGGCAGACTTGTTGTAGAAATGAATTCTAGCCTTTTACCCAGACAGAGAAAGAACAAGCAGTACTTCAGGAATGGTGAGGACAGGAAAAACTTTGCTACTCATGCATGAGGTCCCAGATCTGGGTAGCCCCCTAAGGTCTGAGCACCAGTTTAAGGACCGAGTGCTCCTTTTACATACAACTGTCTACATATCTGTTACATTGATAGCATCGTTCTTCAGCAGGCACAACCATTTGCAGCAAAGTCCCCAGACAAGGGGGGTGGGGGGCAGACAAGGGGGGAAAGATGCCGGCATTCAGGGATGGTCTTGGAGAGAAAGACCAGCTAACTTGCTGCCTGACCTTGTAGATAAGAGTGCTGAGGCCCTGGCCATGAATTTTAAAAGGGAAGGGCCTGTAAGTAAGCAAACTGGTTAATTATGCCTCCTTAGAATGTTCATTGCGCCTGGGCTGGAAGTTCTGCTAGAATCTTTATTATATTCATTTGCTAAATAATATATTTCTCATCACTTACACCTCCTTCCCTTTCAAGATTCATTGCCAGGGCCTCAGCACTCTTATCTAAAAGGTCAAGCTAGCTGTGGTGGTCTCTGCCACACCAAACAATTTCAGCAATTGCTTAACGCTATAAAGACCTGCGCTCCCCATTTAGGGGGAGCGACACTCAGCCTGCAGGGTGTTGTCCCTCACAGACTTTCAATAAAACCCGCTTCAGTCTGATACTCTTGACCTCATTTCCTTTCTAACAAAAGGACCAAAATTTGAGGTTTGTATATTATTAGGCATTATTTTGCAATTTTACATCAGTCCACTAAAACAGAATATTCAAACTATTTGGTTTCTAAAGTCATATCACCAAGCATTTCCTAGCTTCATATTACTAGGTATGGTTACTAAGATTAAACTGAAAATATATAAGAGAAAACTTTTGAGAAAATAAGTTTATATTTTTATTTCATTTTAAAAGCAATATATATTAAGTTGATATTTTGGAAAGCTAAACAATTGAGCTAGATATAGCTTACTTTTTTTTTTAAGATTTATTTATTTATTTATACAAGCACTGGGTACAGTCAGAAGTGTGGGAGGGTGAGAGAATTCACCAGAGCCAGAGTGGGGAATAGAACAGGCAGACTGACGAAATACACTGCTGAGGGGACCAGTGGGCGTGGCAGGAGAGGTCTGTCCCGCCATGTGGGACCCTTGCTGGGGATCAAACCGGTGCTGCAGAGGCTGCGGGCAGCTTCGCAGCCCAGTGTTCAACCGCTGCGCCACCAGGAGAGGCCCTCTTTTTTTTTAATTAATATTTTATTTTATTTATACAAAAACCAGGGTACAGGACAGATGCACGGGAGGGTGAGAGGATTAACCAGAGCCAGAGCAGGGGACAGAACAGGCAGACTGAAGAAATACACTGCTGAGGGGAGCAGCAGGCGAGACAGGAGAGGTGTGCTCGCCATGTGGGTTGCTCTGAGACCCGCAGGGATCCAACCGGCACTGCAGAGACTGCAGACAGCTTCACAGTGCTACACTCAACCGCCTGCACCACCAGGGAGGCTCTCTTAATACATTCTTAAGGTTATAACTTAATCTTACTTGTGGCAATGTTACGGAACACTGGCCTCAGTTTCCAAAAAAAAAAAAAAATCTGTAAAATACCGGTATCTATGAAATATTATTTGGAATACTCTGTAAGACAAAAGAAATATTAAGAAGGACCGGACACTCATTTTTTTTTTACTATTTATTTATTTATTTATACAAGCACTGGGTACAGTCAGAAGGGAAGGTGAGAGAATTCACCGGAGCCAAAGCGGGGAACAAAACAGGCAGACCAACGAAATACACTACTGAGGGGAGCAGCGGGCGGCAGGAGAGGTCTGCGCGCCATGTGGGACCTTCACTTGGTGGCTGAGATCGAACCAGCGCTGCAGAAGCTGTGGGCAGCTTTGCAACCCAGCGCTCAACTGCTGCACCACCTGGGAGGCCCCGGACTCTCAGTTTTGATGACAAAATTCAGGGCAAACCAGGATGGGCTGCTCCTCCTTCTGATAGTATTATAGAATGAAGAGTGCTTTTTTAAAAAAAATATTTTATTTTATATAATTCTTACATCATTTTTCATTCTTACACAATGTATGCATTTTCAATTTGGTTATATTCCCCATACAATTGCACCCCCCCCCCCTTATTTTGACCCTAATCTTCCCTCTCCTGCCCCTCCTGAGACAGGGCAAGCTAGGGTTATTAGGCAGTTTTAGGGACAGTGCAGGAGGGGACCTCTGAAGAATTTAGGGAGGCTTCAGAGATAAGGATAACCAAGGAAATATAACCAATTCCACTGGGAAAAACAAACATCCTAGAACCATTGTTAACAATAGGGGAAAAACAAACATCCTAGTACCACAGATAATCTTGTTAAGGATGGTCCTGGTTTTCTTCAGATGATAAGATAAAGTGTAAAGATGCTCACCAGGAGGGCTAGACCATAAAGGTAAAGTGATAAGCATAACAAATGGGGAAAGAAAATACTGTTAGATAAGGAATGTGACATTTCCCCACTCAGTAAGTGTGAGACCCTCTGAGAGTTAACCAATCAGGGAGAGAAAGAGTAAAATTTAAACCTAATGAGGGAAAAAAAATTATATATTGCCAACATAATATCCCGTACCAGCTCATCTCGGCCCCTCCCAGGTACCTTATACCTGGGAGTCTTTCTTCTTTGTTTCCTTTCTTCCTAAATAAACTTTTCTTTCAAAGACAAGATTTGTCTGTCTCTGCTTACTTACTTCAAAAAGTCTGTGAATTCCTTTCTACGGTTTCGCCAGACAAGAACTCGTGGTAAAGCGGCAGCAGTTGTTACACACGCCAGCATCACTCCTAACCCCGCAGATAAACACAAACAGTTTGCAGCAACATGGATGGAGCTGGAAGGGATCATGCTCAGCTAAATAAGTCAGAAAGAAAAAGAAATATACTGGATAGTCTCACTCATAGCAGGAATTTAGAAAACCTAAATAAGAGACCAGGAAAAAGACAAAGTAATACAAAGTAATACAAAGTAGAAGAGTGCTTTTAAGGATGAGCATTAAAGTACTGTTATGGGGAAAAGGGTGTCATTTTCGTCTCAATAGACTTGAGCCCAAGTGAGTGCACATTCCTTCATTTGATGAAGGATAATCATGTAAAAGGTGTTATTTTTGTAAGATGGAAACAATTGAGTAAAAACATTTTGCTCTTTTCCAACAGATGCTCTGCCCTAAATGATGCAAAACTAAGGAAAGTGGTGTTTTATTACCGAGAATGAGAAAGTGTATCAATCACCTGACAGAAACTGCAAGGAGTATTGGCCAGAGACAGCAGCTGGATCTGTTGTAGAGCAACCCCGATACAAAACGGGGTGCCTGACTGTGGGTCCTCACCCGCGCACTTAAAAGGACTTATCAATGCTCTACTGCAGGCACACGTGAAAGGTTAATAAAAGGTTTATTTACAAAGGGAAGGGGAAATGAGGAAATGTACAGCTCTGGGAGAAAAGTGGGAGACAAAGTTTTAAATGAGTCCTACCCGATCCGCTGATTAGGAATCCCAAAATGGCGCTCTGAGAGCTGGCCGCCAGCCAGGAGCGGTGAAGCCAGGAGGGGAGCGATCGCGAGTCAGAGAGCCCAAGGCCCACGTGTTTGGTTTTTTATATCCAACCTGGCTGCCCAACTCCACCCTCAGGTCCCAGCCACCCTCCCTTGGTGGTGATGGGATTTGTCTTTCCCAGAGTCTTGATGGCTTTAGTCTGGAGTGACGGTGGAGTCCACAAAGTTAATCCTGTATGGGATTAACTCAGGACATCACTTCCTCCTAACAATTCCCCCCTTTCACTTTTTGCCACCATTTCCATGGTGATGAAGATCAAACATATGGATGCTGGGATACAGTCTCAGATGAAAGTTTTCCAGGGTTCCAGTCTGAAAGAAAACGAATGAAACAAACACACCGGAGAAACCAAAAATCATATTTGCGCTTATGGTAGCCAGTGCCATAGGGAAGCCCAATTTCCCCATGGGGCTGACTAACCACGGATGGTTTTTGTCCTAAATCTTCGTGGTCACCAAATCTGTTATAGGACAGGGAGAGGGGCAACCCAAACCCCACAAACCTGCCTATTCTAAATGGGTTCTGCCATCCGCCGCATCAACACAAAACATATAAGACTTTAATTGGAAGGACCTTTAATAAAACTAGGAAACAATACAGGAAAGGCAAAGAGTCTAGTTTCTAAATGAAGCACCCAAAGTTACCCATCCCCTCATGGGTAAAAGTCCATCCAAATGGGATTGGCCCAGAGCAAAGCCCCAAAGCCTGCCACAAGTCTAAAGCATCTTCCAGTGGGGACCCACAGCAAAGGGTCAGAAATAACCAGACAAGCCCGGAAGGAAAAGAGCAAAATCAACATTAAGATAAAAGCTGCCATTGTCACCTCCCCACGGGTCTCACCCACATCTGTGTCACCCAGTCTATGACCAAAAGACAAGCGCAGTTTCTTCATGTGTCTCTAGGCTCCATGCGCCTCCTCCAGGTCTCCTGGCTCCATCCTGCTTCCTTCCTCAGTCTCTTCTGCAGCTTCTCCTCTTCCTGCTCAGCTCCACCCTCCCTTGGGTGGGGCAGGGAACATGGAACCTCCCCCTTTCCTGGGGACCACCCTGTTACAGATCTATCCAAAAGAAACTCTGAAGGTTGCTTCCCAGTGACCCTTCTGAGAAGAGGGAAGGATTGTGGGAATTACAGCAAATCCTGGACTACTAGATTGACTGGAAGGTTGGGGTGAGATGAGGGGAGAGGAGGCCCACAATCTAGGCTAAAGTACTGTGGGTACTTTTGTAACAGGGTGGTCCCCAGGAAAGGGGGAGGTTCCAGGTTCCCTGCCCCACCCAAAGGAGGAGAGCTGGGCTGGGAGAAGAGAAGCTGGAGGAGGGAGGGAGGGAGGAAGGGAAGAAGGGAGAAAGGAAGGAAGGAAGGAGCCAGAAGGAGACTTGGTGGAGGCACATGGAGCAGAGACATATGAAGAAACTGCACTTGCCTTTGGGTCAAGGACTGGATGAAACAAATGTGAGTGAGAGACCAGTGGGGAGGATAACAGTGGCAGCTTTTATCTTGATTTTGATTTTGCTCTTTTCCTCCCAGACTTGTCTGGCTGTTTCTGACTCTTTTCTATGCCCCTCCCTGCCCCAAAGGTGCTTTAGACGTGTGGCAGGCTTTGGGGCCTTGCTCTGGGCCAATCCTGCTTGGGTGGACTTTTACACACAAGAGGACGGGTAACTTTGGGTGCTTGATTTAGAAACTAGATTCTTTGCCTTTCCTGTGAGACAGGGCAAGCTAGGGTTATTAGGCAGTTTTAGGGACAGTGCAGGAGGGGACCTCTGAAGAATTTAGGGAGGCTTCAGAGATAAGGACAACCAAGGGAATGTAACCAATTCCACTGGGAAAAACAAACATCCCAGGACCATTGTTAACAATAGGGGAAAAACAAACATCCTAGGACCACGGACAATATTAAGGATGGTCCTGGTTTTCTTCAGGTGATAAGATAAAGTGTAGAGATACTCACCCAGAGGACTCAGCCATAAAGATAAAGCGATAAGCATAATAAATGGGGAAAGACAAACCTGTTAGATAAGGAATGTGAAGATCCCCCACTCAGTAGCAGATTAAGTGAGACAGCGGAGAACTAACCAATCATAAAGAGACTGGTGGAGCTTTAGAATAATGAGGGAAAAAAGGTCTATATTCCCTGAGACAAGACTCCACTTTGGCTTCCTTGCCCCTCCCTGGGAGTCCCACTTTATTTCTGTTCTTTTTCTCCTCAATAAACTTTTTCTTTCTATAAACGAAACTGCCTCTTCTCGCTTGCTTGCCTGAGTGCCTGCGAAGTTCCTGCTGCGGCTTCGTGAGACACCAACCCGTGGGGGTCTAGTGGCTGGGGCTCAGCGCTGCCCCTGCAGCCTGGGATCCGTTCCTGGCTGGGAGACTAGGCCTGACAATTCTGGTATCGCCTGTATTGTTTATTGTTTACTAACTGTTTTCAAATTCCTTCCTATTTAAGTCTTATATGTTTTGTGTTGATGAGGCAGATGGCAGAACCTATTTAGAGCAGGCAGGTTTGCAGATTCTGGGGTACCCCTCTTCCTGCCCTGTAACACTTTGATGTGGTAGTGGGTGGTAATGATGTCGTTTTGGAGTTTGGAGTGTGCTGTCCTTGGGTTCACTCTGGGAAAGAGCGCCCCTTTCTTTCTTTCTTTCTTTTTTTTTTTTTATAGAGGCATGTTATTTATTTGTTGGTTTTGTTTGTTTGTTTTGTTTATACATGCACTGGGTACAGTCAGAAGCGCGGGAGGGTGAGAGAATTCACCAGAGCCAGAGCGGGGAGCAGAGCAGGCAGAAGGACCCAAGTACACTGCTGAGGGGAGCAGCGGGCGGCAGGAGAGGTCTGCGCGCCATGTGGGACCCTCCTCCGGTGGCTGGGGAGCAGCCGGGGATCGAACCGGCGCCGCAGAGGCCGCGGGCAGCTTCGCAACCCAGCGCTCAACCACTGCACCACCACCGGGGAGGCCCAAGAGCTCCCCTTTCAATGGCACACAGTGAGTTTTCCAGGCGAGTTTCTCCATGAGACAAAGACATTGGCTATATTTAAAAGACAGATTTATTAGGGAAAGGGACAGAAGTGTAAAAGACACTTGCACAGACACAAGCGGCCAGGAAGAGCTGCCCGGATGGGACAGGTTTGCTGAGAGAGACCTGCATGGTTGCAGGCGGGCATCTTTGAGGAGAGCGGCCTCTGCTGAGGGAGATCAGTGATGAGAAGTCCCAGCATGGTACAGATCATGGGCAGCCAGAAAGCTGTTGCCCTGTAGAGGGAGAGAGTTGGTGAAAGAAGCACCTGCATAGGCACAGGTGGGCAGAAGAAGTGCTGCCCCGAGCCAGTGCAGAGACTGCACTGACACAGTCTTCTTTCTTTGGGAGGTACTCACTCCTTGTGAGCCTTTGGCTAGTTGCTGATATTGAATAACTATGCAGAATCTGAAAGGGACTGGAGATTCTACAATGGACTCAATCTCCATATCTTTACCTTGGGGTCTGTTAGTCTCAATATCCATATCTTGACCTTCAGGCCTGTGCTCTAGACACTCCCCACAGCAGTCTGATACATGCTTGCATCTTATGATTTGTAATGTAGGCGTTGGCGCCTAAGGATCTTGGTTTCTATAGCTGGGTCAATGACTATGCTAATCCCTTCTACCCTCATCTGCACCTCTTAGCATTTTGTGAGCTAGGGTTCTGATCTTATAGCACCTCCTTTTCAGTTTTTCTATTCTTGTCCTCCATCAGTAACATACTTTGGAGGGTTGTAAGCCTATTCCCCTAAATCATAAGCAGTGTTGCAGAGCAATGTTATAGCAATAAAGAAAAAATACAAAAACTAAAAATAGAAATTCCATATGATCCAGTTATCCCTTTTCTGTGTAAGTACAAAAAAGTACAATCACACTAAATCAAATAGATAATATATGTCACAATTTTTATTGCAGTATTTTGTTACAATAGCCAAGGGTAAGAAAGAAACTAAATGCTCAAGGACAAATGATCGGCTAAAAAGTATGCTATATATCATACAATGGAATAGCACTTGGGTGTCCTGTGCAATTGTTAAGGTAAAGATATGGAGATTCAGCCCATTGTAGAATCTCCAGTCCTTTTCAGATTCTGCAGTTATCCAAAATCAGCAACTAATTGAAGACTCACAAGGATTGAGCCCCTCCTAAAGAGAAATATTTCTATCAGTACAGTCTTTGCACTGGCTCAGGGCAGCAGTCCCTCTGCCCACCTGTGCCTATGCAGGTGCTTCTTTTCAACAACTCTGCTCCTCTTCATGGCAGCAGAATTCCTGCCTGCCCATGACCTGTACCATGCCTGGCTTCACTGCCCTCTCCCAATAGAGGCAGCTCTCCTCAAGGCTGCCCACATGTGGCCATGCAGGCCTCTCTTAGCAAACCTGTTCCTCTCAGTGTAGCTCTTCCTGCCTGCTGGTGTCTATGCAAGTGTCTTTTACTCTTCTGTCCCTTTCCCTAATAAACCTGCTCCTTAAATATAACTAATGTCTCTGTCTCATGGAGAAACTGCCTGGGAAACTCGCCCTGTGCGGCTGAAAGGGGAGCTCTGGTGAAACCTTTCCCGGGGTGAACCCAAGGACCACACACCGCAAACCCATTAACTCCAAAACAATATCAGATGAAGGCCTCCCTGGTGGCACAGCGGTTGAGCACTAGGCTGCGAAGCTGCCTGCAGCCTCTGCAGCACAAGTTTGATCCCTGGCCTCTGGCAAGGGTCCCACATGGCGTGACAGACCTCTCCTGCAGCGCCTGCTGCTCCCCTCAGCAGTGTATTTCATCAGTCTAGTCTGTTCTGTTCACCGTTCTGACTCTGGTGAATTCTCTCACCCTCCCACACTTCTGACTGTACCCAGTGCTTGTATAAATAAATAAATAAATCTTTAAAAAAAAACAATATAAGATGAACCCCACCATTTGCCCCAACATGTGTGGCCCCGAGGGTATTATGCTGAGTGAGATAAGACACCAAAAAAAGGTTAGTACAGTAGGATTTCACTCGATGTGTTGTATAGAGAACCAGACAAACAGAGAACTGAATAATACAAAAACAAACTTTTGGACCAATTAGTGGTTACCAGAGGGGAAGGGGAAGAAGAGTGGGTAAATCAGGTGCAATGTGTCAATTGTATGGAGAAGAACAGAATCTGAGCTTTAGTGATGAACTTAATGTAGAACACACACAAGTTGATTTTTAATGATGCACACTTGAAACTTACATAATGTTAAACTGCAAGAGTAATTTCAATAAAGAAATTAATTTAAGTATTGAAAAAATCTACAAAGCCATTACACTAATAATTACATATAATGGATGAGAGAATTTTTAAAGACTTTAATAAATTCAAAATTTTTCTGACCAGGAATTGGAAGACATAATCTTTTTAATTTTTCTGCTTTATTATTGATGAATGTAATTACAAACAAAATTTCAGCTGGTATGTTTTGGAATTGGAAAACTGATTTTAAAGTTTGTGTAAATAGAGAGTGGAGAAGCTAGACAATCTGGAAGAATAGAGTACTTCATATAATAAATTACTACAAAACTACAGTAATTTATAGAGTTTGATATTATACTTGCTTGACAGTACATTGTTCATTTAATTATATTAATTAAGTACATATGTTACAGAGCAGGGAGAGGGGCACCCCAAATCCTGCAAACCTGCCTGCTCTAAATAGGTTCTGCCATCTGCCACATCAACACAAAACATGTAAGACTTTAATGGGAAGGGACTTTAATACAATTAGGAAACAATACAGGAAAGTCAAAGAATATAGTCTCTAAATCAAACACCCAAACTTACCCACCCCCTCGTGGGTAAAAGTCCACCCAAACAGGATTGGCCCAGAACAAGAAACTAAAGCTGCCGCAAGTCCAAAGCATCTTCCAGTGGTGACCCACAGAAAAGGATCAGAAACAACCAAACAAGTCTGGGAGGAAAAAAGAGCAAAATCACTATCAAGATAAAAACTGCCATTGTCACCTCCCCATGGGTCTCTCACCCACATCTGCGTCACCCAATCCACGACCAAAAGGCAAGCGCAGTTTCTTCACATCTCTCTCTGTTCCACGTGCCTCCTCCAGGGCTCCTTCTTGCTCTCCATCCTGCTTCCTTCCTTCCTCAGTCTCTTCTGCAGCTTCTTCTCTCCCTGCTCAGCTCCACCCTCCTTTGGGTGGGGTAGGAAACCTGGAACCTCCCCTTTTCCTGGTGACCACCCTATTGCACATAGAATCCTAAAATATTAGTCAGCAATCATAAAGATAGTTATTGAATTTGTAAAATTAAAATATAAAACATTTTACTTGGTTATCTCAGAACTTTACTTTATATGTATGTCAATCATAATATATCCTTAGGTTTTGGGGGACATATCTGAAATAACCTCAAACATCCACACTAAATTTCTTTGACAACCCATACTTTGTTTTAAAAATGTATGCAACTTCCATAATATATCATGTTTTTTCCAACAGAAAAATAGATTCAATATTGAATTATTTTGAATTTTTTCTAGACCTATAAGCAAAACTAGTAAAAAGAATATATAGCAATTTTATTGCATGAACTCACTATACACAGCCACTAACAAGCACACTGCCTTAATAAAATGAACAAATTAACCATAATTATTTTCATTAATAAATATTAATTATTTTATTTCATTCCATACAATTAGGAGACTACATGAAAATCTAGTCATAAGTTGAGAGAATTCATGTGAATACATAATAGTTGTTAACATTTGGATGTGGAAGAGCTCACTGTACTTCACTGCCAGGAAATGCTGCTTTGCACTGTTCTTTTAGGCAATACTTGGGAGGCTTGTCTTGTGAGTTATGGGCATTCATTGTGAGTAAAAGAAAAGCAAAGAGGTAACCAGAAACCAGGTACATTGACTGCATTTACTGAACATTTACATGCCCAAAGCATGATGCTGAGAAATATGTGGAAATTTGAGAAATTAAAAGCAGAACATAACAGGGTTTGGGGAGGGAATTGTGTTAAAAAGCCACAAACATGACGAAGAATTCATCAGGAGCCATCTGAGGAGAAGCCCCTATGTGTCTGGGGTCAGTTAGTCAGTGTTTTTTTGTAACTGTTTTTTCATAAAGTGCAGTTGAATACACTCATTTTTAAAAGGCCAAATTTTATGCCAATATGTGGTCACTACAAAATCTGTCTGTTTTTTATAAGGAAACAAAAAACTAGTAGAAAGAAAAGAAACAACCTACTTACAATCATATCAAAAAGTATAAAATACCAAAGACAACTTTACAAAGAAGTTTATAGACACATACGCTAGATAATAAACACAATGTTGAAAAAAAGAGGACACAAGGAAATGGGAAGATAGTCTGTTCTCAAGGGTTTTAACATCTTTAAAATGTCCAACTTACCTAAAAACATACATACCTTTAATGCAATCCCTATCAAAATTTCAATGGCATGTTTCATAGAAATACAACAAATAGAATTTGTATAGAATCATAAAAACCATGCATAGTTAAAACAATCCTAAGGAAAAAGAATGGTGGGATCACTTCTCTGAACTTAAACTCTACTTAAAAAAGCATTAGTATCAATAAGAATTTGATTCTATCAAATTGGTTAGTAGTATCAAATTAGAATTTGATACTAGAATAACAACAGGCATAAAAATCAAAGGAACAGAATAGAGAGTTCAGAATTTTAGGCACATTTATATCATCAGCTAATTTATCACAAAGATCAAGAGCAAATGATAGAAAAGGGGGCATCTCTTCAGTAAATAGTGTTGGTAAATATGGGTACCCACATGAAAAAGAATGACTAGGGCCTCCCCGGTGGCGCAGCGGTTGAGCGCCGGGTTGCAAAGCAGCCCGCAACCTCTGCAGCCCCGGTTCGATCCCCGGCTGCTCCCCGGCCACCAGAGAAGGGTCCCACATGGTGCGCAGACCTCTCCTGCCGCCCGCTGCTCCCCTCAGCAGTGTGCTTCGGTCCTTCTGCCTGCTCTGCTCCCCGCTCTGGCTCTGGTGAATTCTCTCACCCTCCCGCGCTTCTGACTGTACCCAGTGCTTGTATAAATAAATAAATAAAAATAAATCTTTGAAAAAAAAAAAAAGAATGACTAGACCAGGATATAGAAGAAAAAGGTAACCTATGAATGGGAGAAGCTATTTACAAACCATATATCAAACACGGAATTAATGTCAAAATATATAATCAACTCATACAATTCAGCATTTAAAAAATCTTATTAAAAAGGGCCAGAGGATCTGAACAGGCTCTTCTCCATAGAACTCAGCCAGCCAACAGACTCATGAAAAGATATTCAGCTCTCTTATTATGGGGACTGCACATCCAAGCCACCCAGACATCTCACCTCACACCTGTGAGAAGGGCTGTTATCCAGAAGAAACAACAGGTTCTGGAGAAGAGGTAGAGGAAAGGGAATCCTTGTACAATGGTACATTGATGCAAAATATGGAAAACAAGATGCAGATGCCTCTTGGTTTTCTTTCAAAGAATATGAAACTACTAATTTGAAAAGTTATATGGACAATTATGTTCATTGAATCCCCATTTACAACACATATTACCCTTAACAGATGGCTGCAGAAAGAAGATATGAAATGTACTACACACAACAGCATAGTATTCAGCTATATTTTTAAGAGGAATCCTGTAACAAGGATGTAACCTGAGGGGATCATGCTAAGTGAAACAAATCATGAAGAGAAAGATCAACATTATGACTTTCACTGTCTATGGAATATAAAGAAGCAAAAATAGTTGAACACATAAACCCCAACAAACGGCTAATTTCATGACAGCAGAAAGCTGGTTACCACAGGGAAAGGGAGTGGTGGTGGGTGGGGGGCTGCTTTCAATGTCAGCAGATGGTAACTAGGCCTCTGGGGGTGGTTGCTTTGTGGTATATATACTATGAGGTATAAAACTGACCCCTGAAACTTACACATTGTTGTTAATCAATGATACCTTAAAAAAGAAAGAGAAGATAGATGCTATGACACTGCACATGGAAGTAGCATAAACAAGCTATCTAGCCTTGGGTTTTCTTCCTATACGTGTCATTTGATTACAGAAAATGAAAACATCACTTAAAATATTCTAAATCATTCTGTAAATCTTGCATTAGAACAGAACCAAGAATGAGTGTTGATATATTGTCATTCATTGTGTTTTGTCAATACACAATTGTAATGTGTTTTGTATATTTAATATTTTTTCCCTTAATCAGAATATACAACCACATGAGTTTCTGAAGTCATATAACCAAACTTTTATTAGCTTTTTTTTAACCAAGATGGCTATTAAGAACAGAAATATATAACATGTTTGAGAATAAGTTTATATATTTATTTCACTCAACAAGAAATATTTAAAAGTTTACATTTTAGAAAGCTAAACATCGAGCTAGATTAAACTTTCTAAATTCATATATTTACGATATAATTTGACTCATGATAACATATTTTTGTAGGAACTTTTTTTTTTAAATTTATTATTTATACAAGAACTGGGGTACAGGCCAGATACGCAGGAGGGTGAGAGGATTCACCGGAGACAGAGTGGGAACAGAACAGGCAGACTGACGAAATACACTGCTGAGGGGAAGCAGCGGCAGAGACAGGAGAAGTCTGCCATGCCATGTGGTATTCTCGCCGGCTGGTCGGGATCAAACCTGCACTGCAGAGGCTGCGGACAGCTTCACAGCACTGTGCTCAACCACTGCACCACCAGGGAGGGCCTTTGTGTGAACTATTATATGGAGCAATCTGACACAGAAAAAAATATTCTGAAGGACAGAATTCTTGTTTTGAAATAACAAAGATTTGGGGCAAACCAGGATGAGCTGATCCCCCTTTCACAGTTTAATTGAAAACAATAATGACTCATAGAGGTGAGAATTAAACTCATATTTGGAAAAGGAGATGTTATATTCAGCACAAATGATTTGGGACCAAGTGAGTGCAAATCCCGTTCTTTTTGTCAAGGGGAGACAAGTAAAAGAGTGACTTTGCAGAGAGATATTTTAATCTGTATTTTCAAGAGCAATGCTTATAGAGCTATATGTGAAGATTTGTATTACCCAGACAGCACATATTAATGACAACTTTCTTTTTTTTTTTCAAATTTTTAAAATTTATATATTTATTTAATGAATTTTATTTTTATATTCCCCATACAATTGCAACCCCCTTATTTTGACCCCAATCCCTCCCTTCCTGCCCCCCACCCCCCACAGAGTGTCTCTGGTTCATAGTTTTTTGTTGATTTTGATTTTCACTTTCTTATAGTTATTCTTTTTCCTGGTCCCTTATTTAAGTTTTCTAGATTCCTGCTATGAGTGAGACCATGTGGTATTTTTCTTTTTCTTTCTGGCTTTTTCGCTGAGCATGATCCCTTCCAGCGCCATGATAACTTTCTTATATGACAACTTGCCTATGCTCATTTCTCTACTTACCTTAAGATTCCTGGTTTGGTTAAGGAAAGTTAACAATTTGGATCCCCATCTTCCTGGTCCCAACTAAAAGGCTCTAGCCAAGGGCTAAGATGGTCCTGAAGAAGTTGTGCCCGGGGAAAATGCTGTTTGTGAAAAAAGGAACATTTTGGAAATAGCTGCCTCTGGATAATTCACTAACTTCAAAGAATGGCAGGCTTCAAGGCTTATGGCAGGGCTAAAACCCCCAGCTCAATGAAAATTGAGCTCCAAATATAAAGGGAATTTTTTTAAAAGATTTATTAATTTATACAAGCACTGGGGCAGAGGCCAGAGGCACAGGAGGGTGAGGATTCACCAGAGACAGAGCAGGGAGCAGAACAGGCAGAAGGACCAAAGTACACTGCTGAGGAGAGCAGCAGGTGAGATAGGAGGTCTGTCGTGCCATGTGGGAATCTCACTGGCTGGCCAGGAATTGAACCGGCACCGCAGAGGCTGCAGACAGCTTTCCAGTGCTATGCTCAGCCTGCTGCGCCACCGAGGAGGCCCCTAAAGGGAAATTTTTAACAGCCCTCCTTGTTTTCCTCGTGAATGGACAACATCAGAGAGATACATTAGGAGACACCTGCCTGGATCCTTGCTATGTATCCCTTGCAAATTATATAAAATCCTTATTGAGAGCTCAAATTTTGGACAGTTTGTCCAGAACTCTCTAGAGACTATTTTCAGACTTGATTCCTCAGTCTTGATCCTTCATAAACTCACTTACTTGGCGTTTGTCTCTCTATATTTAAGCCAAGAGTTTTCTCCAATATATCTTGAACTTGTCTCTCAATAAAGAATAAAGAGATGTGCCTCAACAAAATAATCAGGCTTGTCTTCTTTGGAGAACTTTTCTCAGAGCTGCCTTTATGGCTTGATTTCTCAGGCTATAGATCATTGGGTTGAGTGTTGGGGGCACAACTGTGTACATAATAGTCAACAAAATGTCCAGTGCACTGGGAGATTCAGAAGGTGGTTTGAGAAACTCAAAAACACTGGTTGTAATAAACAACATGACCACAGCCAGGTGGGGAAGGCAAGTTGAAAAGGCCTTGGCTCTACCCTCAGCAGATGGCATCCTCAGCACAGTGGAGAATATCTTTGTGTAGGACACTCCAATAAAGGTGATGCAAAGAAAGGCCACCAGAGACAAGAAGCCAGTGACACCAACCTCTCTGATATACTCATTAGAACAAGAGAGTTTCATGAGCTGTGGAATATCACAGAAGAACTGGTGAATGATATGGGAACCACAGAAGTGCATGGAGAAAGTGGCAGCTGTGTGCATGGCACCAGAAATGATCGCACTGATCCAGATGCCTAGGACTCCTTGGACGCATTTGCTGACATCCATGATGATTTCATAGTGCAGTGGAAAGCAGATGGCCATGTAGCGATCATACGACATTACTGTGAGCATGGACAGCTCAGCAGAACCACAGAGAATGAAAGCAAAACTTTGCACTATGCATTCCCATAGGGAAATATAGCCATTCTGCATGAAAGAGTTGCAAATGTATCTTGGTACAGTCACGGAAATGTAGCACAGATCCAGGAAGGAGAGATGTTTCAGGAAGAAATACATGGGTGAGTGAAGACTACCATCTATGAAAGTTGCGGTGATAATGAGGATGTTGCCAATTACCGCCACCATGTATAAGACTAAGAACAGAGAAGCAAGAACGAGTTCTAGCTCAGGCTTGGCAGAAAATCCCATCAGAAGAAACCCACTCATTGTAAAATTAGCCATAGTTCTTCTTAATTTCTGAAAGATGCTGACTGCAAGAAAAGATGGGAACCATTGGAAATTTCTTTTGCTTAACCTCCCAACCACACTGGATTCAATGAAGTTAGGCATGAAGTCACTGGACATTATCTCATCATCATAAATGTGAAAGTAGTTTTTTATACTAATCATCTTGTGCAATTTTAAATTACTTCATGGAAACATAGGTTAGGAAGATCGTAAATTTGAGAATTGCCCATTTTAGTCAAATGAAAGAAAAATGAATGTATATATAAAGTTTATAAAATATCTTTTAGAATATATAATTTTAATAATGGGACTATGGAGCATTTTTTTTCTTATTTCTATTAAAAGTGTTATATAGTTCATAAACTCACATTTATTAACTTTTGTTAGCTGCCTATTTTTTTCATTAATCATTCTATATATTCATATACTACTCAACTACTGTAGCTTTATTATTGCAGTGTAATAATGTTGCATTGTAAATGAGAGAAAAAATTCCTCATGTTTTTAACTAAGCACTTATTTTCTCACTAATTATAATTTTGAAATGCCAAATTAATAACTAATTCATGTACCTAATTATGACATATAAATAACTGTTATCATTAACATAGTATATCATACAGATTGATCTGAAAAATACTATTTTCCCAAAAGAAAAATAATTGAACAGCCCTTCCATATGCATATTTTAAAAGAAAATAATATGGCTCATATAAAGGACAAATACCATCTACTGTAATTCTTAGTATAAAACAACTATGGAATATGTTCACACCCAACAAATTAGTGAAACATTAAAAATACATAATCAGTAGAATATATATATATTTAAATATTCTTTTTTTTAAAGATTTTTATTTATTTATTTATACAAGCACTGGGTACAGTCAGAAGCGCGGGAGGGTGAGAGAATTCACCAGAGCCAGAGCGGGGAGCAGAGCAGGCAGAAGGACCGAAGCACACTGCTGAGGGGAGCAGCGGGTGGCAAGAGAGGTCTGCGTGCCATGTGGGACCCTCCTCAGGTGGCCGGGGAGCAGCCGGGATCGAACCGGCACTGCAGAAGCTACTGGCAGCTTTGCAACCCGGCGCTCAACTGCTGCGCCACCGGGGAGGCCCCAGTAGAATATATTATGATGAAAGATATCTGGTGATTACATATATCTGAGGAGGTGTGACTAAAGACCTCTATATCAAGTACAGTCTTATAAACAGATGCTACATCAATAAAATGAATGCAATTAAAATAATAAAGAATATGATTTATTTAAAAAATAAATAAGCTCAATACAAGCAAGTGGTATGATCAAATTTGTGCATTCTTTTTTTTTTTTTTAAAGATTTATTTATTTATACAAGAACCGGGGTACAGGCCAGAGGCGTGGGAGGGTGAGAGAATTCACCAGAGACAGAGAAGGGAGAAGAACAGGCAGAGGACCGAAATACATTGCTGAGGGGAGCAGCGGGCAAGACAGGAGAGGCCTGCCTCGCCATGTGGGTTTCTTCCTGGCTGGCAAGGAATCAAACCTGTGCTGCAGAAGCTGCAGACAGCTTCACAGCACTGTGCTCAACCCACTGTGCCATTGGAGAGGCCCAAATTTGTGCTTTGTTTATGGAAAAGAGCAAATTATTATTGGTCCATAGGTATTATTTAAGACTTTGTCTTTTTTATGAATCTCACATTAATGAAGAGATAAAGATGGTAGATTTTCCTCTTTAATGAAATTACTGCTTTCAGTGTTAATCCATTTACATTAGTTTTACATCTGTAATTCTACCATTTCATTGTCTCCAACATATTCATAGTCATATAACTGAGGGAACATTCAACATCTAAGATCTCTATCACAGTTTGGGGTGAAGATGGATGTTTATAAATAATGTTTCATGTTTACATGGAAATATTGTGTTTAAAACCTAACAAAAGTCTATTAAATATATAAACATATTAATATATGACACATATTATTAATATATGCTATAATTACAATATATATTATATATTATGTATATTAACTTTATGAAATATATTTATTGATTTTTACCAGTCATTTTTCTTGTAAATGCTTTTCTCTATATTTCTAAAAAAATGACCATTGACATGTCCATTCCAGAATATTCTTGAATTTTCTCTACTTTAGAATTTTCCCCTATGAATCAAAAGAAACAAGAAGGCTGATGACTGGTAACAAATGAATCATGCCTCCTGTTATGCTCTTTCAATCTTTATCCATATTTTCTGTGAGGATGTAAAATGTGCTGATTTAGCTCTCATAAAATATTTGAACATTCTCAATTTCTAAATTTTTCGACTATATTTGAACAATTTATCTTTAATTTCTGATGTGGAAAGCATCTCTCATGTCTTACTAGTCACTACTATAAGACTCAATAAACAACATGAACACAAGGAACATCAACAGCATCAACCCATCACAATTTCAGGCTGAATTACTTCTATGCTGGTGATATGTATAAAGACTTTGGTAGGGAGAATTGCACTCTCTAAAATGCTTTCAGAATAAAAGGAGTTTGCAATATTATTTCCCAGATTTCTAATTTCCATTAAAATACTCACAGCTCACACATAGTATTTCATATTTTACAAGTTGAGTACTAATGGCTGGTTATTTCATCCACTCAAACTAGTAACTCATGGGCGTTCCATCATTTGTTGTAATCTATATTTTTAGTACTCAAGCACACTCACCAGAGCATATTCAAGAATATCTTCCCTCAACAGGAGAAGCTGTCAGTGTGGCCAGCTGACACTTAGCTGAGTCCAGATGTCTACCATCCAGTCACATTCAAACGAAGTAGCTGTGGAGAAAAATAAGCCCATTACAATCGTTCTTTAGCTACTGGCGATTAGGCAATTAAATTATTTTGGCACAAGCAGAGTTTCTGGGTGCTGTGGGTATTTTGTGTTCTCAATAAATACCCTGGGACCAAAACTTGCAATTATATTTATTATTCCTGCAGACTATTGTTCTGTTGAGTCAATTTAATGATCAGACACAGTTATCTGGAATTCATCTTATTTTGTTTATTGGACCAAATTATTGAAGATATTAGTTTGTGTGCAGACTTAGTAATATACACAAAAAGACCTAGTTTAATTCTATTAATTGAAATAGCAAGTCATTCATTTAAATCATAACTAGATAATATTATAATGTCTAATAGACATGTCCATCATCTGAAAAAGGGTAAATACCAATAGTTTACTATAATGAAGCAAAAAAATGCCTGAACTATGTCACTAAGTGCCAATGTCATTTTACTTTGTGTGGGAGAGTAAAAAACAGCCACTTTAAAGAAACCTGGGTTTATGGTGTATGGTTTTGAATCATAGGGCAAGCAAATAGCTTCTAGGGTCAGAATAAAAAGGCTTGGAGGAATAACGAAGACTCCAGAGATAAGGGCAGCAAATTCCAAAGGCGATTAATCAGACACAACCCTCACCTCACTTGGGACAGCAGGGATTTCTGGATAAGGGCAATAAAAAAGGAATCTAAGGGCTGAGATGCAAGATATAATTCTAGGCACAGAAGGCACAGAGACATTAAGGCAGAGTGAGTGAGACAACCAAGAACTAACGAAGCACAAAGAGACTGATGGGACTTTAGAATAATCAGGGAAGCGGTATATCACCCAAGGCATGACTCTAGGGTGGCTTTCTTGCTCCTGGCTTGGTCCATGAGGCTGTGAATCCTACTTTGATTCTGTTCCATTTCTCCTCAGTAAAATTTTCCTTATATCCATTTCTCTAAATAAATTTGCCTCTTTTCATTTGCTTACCTGAGAGTAAGCGAGGTTTCTTCTGGGGCATCTTGAGAGGCCAGTCTGTAGTGGTTTAGTGCTGGGACTCAACACTGCCACCACAGCCTGAGGTTGATTCCTTGCTGGGGAACTAGACCTCAAAACCTCAAATTACGGTAACAGTTTGTCTAGCATCAAAGTTTAGTTGTGCTGCCAATATTCTAATTGTTTTCATTTCAAGCCCAGATTAGAAGATTACACACTATGTTCCATTATCACAAAATATGACTTATCCACGGCTATCATTTCACAAATATGAACTTTTCCAATCCTAAAAATGCACAAAATAGAATTCAGATGGTTTTTATGTAAAGTCTCATTCCAGTTTCTGTTATTAACATGATCATATATTTCTGTATTTTACATTTATATTTAATATGCCTCATGTTTTTATTTTTGCTTCATTCATCCCTTACTGCTTTGTTTTATTGAGTTTTAGTGAATATATTCTAATGCCATATTTAAATTTTGTAATGACTATTGCCTTTTTATAAAGTTATTTCCTTAGTGTTTTATTCTTGTCTGTTTTTACTTATACACCTATCACCAAATACATGGTGCCTTTTTTGGTCAACACTGTTCTAGTAAATAAGAATTAGACTCTTGAAGTTTCAAGCAACAAGGACTTGCATGTTCAGAACATCTCTGATGGGACCACTCTACACAGGCATCAATTGAATGTGCTTCTCAACTGCTAGCTATTAATTGGTAGTGCCATTTCTTCCCATTCCACTTCTTTCAATAACTTTCTAGGGCAGCTCAGAACTCAAGAAGCTTTATTTCTCACTGTGGTGTTTTATTATAAAGAATACAAATCAGAAAAAATGGAAAAGATACAGGACAAGGCATGGGGAAACAAGTAGAATTTCCTTTATTCCTTTCACATGCCACTTTCTAGAACCTCCTAGGGTTCACCATTCTGGAACTTTTTTTTTTTTTTTTTTTTTTTTGTGGGACCCTCGCCGGCGGGCATGGAACGAACCGGCGCTGCAGAGACTGTGGGCAGCCTCGCAGCCCAGCGCTCAATCTCTGCGCCACCAGGGGAGGCCCCTAGAACTTTCTGAGTAGTGGATTCCCCAGTCCCCCTTGATGTCTTGGTGCCCAGAGTTGCTGCTGGTCAAGCTAACATGTAGAGTTAGGCAGGGGGCCTTTCATCAGGACAAAAGTCTTGGTATGAGGCTATCTGCTGACAATAGCAGGCAGACATTATAGCATAACCAGCTGGACCACCTTGACAGGAAGTTAAGTGTAAAGAGGCACTAGAGATAAGATATCTGATCAGCAGCAACAATGGAGCCCCCAGGCATTAGCCCCAATACACATCCCCACCATTATGCATCCCCAATCCATATCCCCACCACACACATTCCTCCACACATTCCTCCGTATTCTTGCCCACCATCCCTGAATCTGATCCCCAATAAATGTGAGACAACCAGAGAAATAGGCTGCTGCATCTCCAGAGGTGCAATACCCTCTAGGTCTTTCTCTCTCTCTACCTGAACTTTGAGTTGTCTTTCCTCCATCCCACACACCCCCAACATAGTGACCTTTGAGGTGACACTGAATCCTATTGTTTAAGGTTTTACTTGGGATCACATTACACAGACCAGATTGAATAAATTATGGGACAATTAACTCAACCTTCAGTATCTCTCTCCAGTGGTCAGGAATGGGATAAATGTTTCAAGTTTTAGTCATGTGTTTAGTATCTTTGGCAACCTGAATTCACTTAAGCACCCTTAACAAGTCACACCATTAACATAAATGGTATTTTTGGAAAGGACTTACCTTGAATAACAAAATTCTTCACTCAGTCCAGTAACTCAGATATTACAAAGGTTGTCATACTCTGTGAGAAGAACTGGGGACTAATAACAAATATATATTTGTTTTTATGTCACATTATAACAGATTATTGAAGGGCTTACCATATATATCATTATGTTTCTCAATACAAACAGAGTTTCTCCCTTTGTGGTATATAAATATATACCTCACACATATTGATATATATGCCAATATTACAAATTTAACATCATACTCATACATATCAGTGTACATAATTATATGTCTTAATGAGATACAGGGCAAGCTAGGAATTATGCAGTTTTAGGGACACTGCAGGAGGGGACCTCAGAGAATTGAGAAAGTCTTCAGAGATAAGGGCAACAAGAGGTAACTAATTCCACCTGTAAAAACAAACATCCCAGGACCAAGGACAACATTGTTAATGCTGGCCTTGGTTCCTTCAAGTGATAAAGGGAGGTAGATATTGGGGAAATGGAGAGTGGTTTAATTTATGGACAACTTAGAAGGGCAACTGTTTAACTTCAATGCAGGGATGCCCATCCAGAGGACTGGGCCATAAAGATAAAGATGCAACAAATGGGGAAAGAGAAAGCTGTTAGATAAGGAATGTGAAGATCCCCAGCTCAGTAAGCAAATTAAGTGAAACAGCCAAGAACTAAGAGATCACAAAGAGACTGGAGGAGCTTTAGAATAATTAGGGAAAGAAGGTATACACTTTGGCTTCCTTGCCCCTCCCAGGCCTGGTTTCATGGCCTGGGAGTCCCACTTTATTTCTGTTCCCATTTCTCCTCAATAAACTTTTTCTTTCTCTAAACAAACCTGCCTCTTCTCGCTTGCTTGCCTGAGAGTCTGCGAAGTTCCTGCTGTGGCTTTGTGAGACACCAACCCGTGGGGGTCTAGTGGCTGGGGCTCAGCGCTGCCTCTGCAGCCTGGGATCCGTTCCTGGCTGGAAGACTAGGCCTGACAATTCCAGTATCATTTAAAATTAGGAAAACATGCTAATATGTATAGCTTTTATTATATTAAACATATAAATCTAATCATTTATGGTTCTCTTGTCTTGTTCATGTTAATTCTATTTACCATTATTTCCTTACCCTCATTCATTAATGGTATTATTGGAAAATATATTACTTTCCCATATGTACTAAGACCAACAATACATGCAAATGGAAAATAAAAGACTACAGGGATAGTGATTCTTATATCAGGCAAAAGGGACATTAAGTCAAAAAATGGAATAATAGGGGTCTCCCCTGGTGGCGCAGTGGTTGAGCGCTGGGCTGAGAAGCTGCCCACAGCCTCTGCAGCACCAGTTCGATCCCTAGCTGCTGGGGAGGGTCCCACATGGAGCTGCAGACCTCGCCTGCCATACCCGCTGCTCCCCTCAGCAGTGTATTTTGTCGGTCTGCCTGTTATGTTCCCTTCTTTGGCTCTGGTGAATCCTCTCACCCTCCCACGCTTCTGACTGTACCCAGTGCTTGCATAAATAAATAAATAAATCTTTAAAAAAAAAGAAACAGTCCTTTGAAAAATGGAATAATACACAGTAACAGTAACTTGTTTACATAATGATAAAGAGTTGAAATCATCAACAGGATATATATCAGGTGAATGGGTGGATGGATGGATGGATGGATGGATGGAGAGGTAGATACACCAAACTTCACAGTATTTGAATTTAAATCAAATTTTTACTAATCTGAAGGTAATAAGAGACAGCAACACAAAAATTGTAGGGTACTACAATAACCCACTTTCAATAATGCATAGATCATACAGACTGAAAAATAGTAATGGAGTGTGGACTATATCAAAAAGCCTAGAAACAATAATTGCTGGTGATGATATGAAAAAAAGGGAACCCTCCTACAGTGCTGGTGGGAATGCAAACTGGTCCAGCCCTAATGGAGAGCAGTATGGAGGTATCTCAAAACATTAAACATGGACTGTCCATTTGAACAGTAATTCTGCTCCTTAGATATCTATACAAAAATTCAAAAATACTAATTCAAAAGGAAATTTGCACTACCATGTTTATTGTAGCACTATTTACGATAGCTAAACTATGGAAACAACCTAAGTGCCCAGAACAGATGAATGAATCATGAAGATGTGGTCTATCTATATAATGGAATACTACTCAGCAATCAAAAGAGAAACTCATGCTGTGTGCAGCAACATGGATAGAGCTTGAAAGGATAATGCTCAGTGAAATAAGAATGAGGAAGATAAATGCAGATGATGTCACTAATTGTGGGATATAAAGTAACTAAATTACAGTCATATGAAAAAAAAATGAAAAATTAACCCTTGATAACTGACTTCAGAACAGAGACACCAAGGGGGTTGTGCTGGGGGAGGGGAAGGAGCAGGGAGGGAGGGAAGCCTAATGGTCAGTGGTGGTAGATGATGAGTGAGTTGGTGGTGAGAGCACTATGGTGGTAATAGCTCATGGCAGGACTCAGTTAAAAATATATTAATAAAAAAAAGACTACGAACTTGACTCCATTCTTGTTGTACCATTCATGCACATAACTTTTTACCCAATAAGAGCATGATACACATTCTCCTCAAGTGCACATGGCACATTCTCCAGAATTGTTCATGTATTAGGTCCTAAAATAAATATTAACAAATTTGAAATGATTGAAATCATGTAAGTATCTTACCTGCCCACAATGTTGTGAAACTAGAAACAAATAACAGGGAAAACTGAAAACTTCACAAATAGGTGGAAATTAAACAACACATTTCTGGACAGCAAATGAATCCAGGAAGAAATCAAGAGGGAGGTGAAAAAGTATCTGAGACAAATGGAAACACAACAAACTAAGTCTTGCATTGTGGAGTAAAAATAGTTCTTAAGGGAATTCACATGGGTCTCAAACAACTAACCTAATTTTACTGCTCAGGGTACTAGACAAATTAGAACAAAATAAGTACAAATTTAGAAAGAGGAACAAAGCAAGGAACAAATAGAAAGTAATGAAAATGAGTCTGAAACATTAGCAGAAATAACAGCAAAATTAAGAACTGGTTATTTGAAAAGATAGGCACAACTGACAAACCTTTTCTAGACTAAGAAAAAGGAAAGACTATTCAGGTAAGTAAAATCAAACATGGCAGAGAAGATATTTCAACAGATGCCACCAAATACAAAGGCTCGTAAGAGACCAATATGAAGGTTGAAATGCAAATAACATTAATAGGGGCCTCCCCGGTGGCGCAGTGGTTGAGCACTGGGTTGCGAAGCTGCCCGCGGCCTCTGCGGCACCGGTTCGATCCCCGGCTGCTCCCCGGCCACCGAAAGAGGGTCCCACATGGCGCCAGACCTCTCCTGCTGCCCGCTGCTCCCCTCAGCAGTGTACTTCGGTCCCTCTGCCTGCTCTGCTCCCCGCTCTGGCTCTGGTGAATTCTCTCACCCTCCCGCACTTCTGACTGTACCCAGTGCATGTATAAACAAAACAAACAAACAAACCAGCAAACAAATAAATAAAGCATGCCTCTATAAAAAAAAAAAAAAGAAATGCAAATAACATTAATAACTTTGTGGAAACATACAATTTTTAATAACATATGAGATACTAAGACTATGTTATGAGGAAATAGAAAATCTAATAGACCAATATTGAGCAAGGTGTTTGCATAATCAACAACAAAATAAAAACCATAATCATCTCAATCTATTTAGAAAGCATTTGGCAAATTCACGCTCTTTTCACGATAAACCTAAACATGTGTTTAGGTAGAGCAGAAATGCACTTCAAAATAATAAAGACCATAGGGCCTCCCTGGTGGTGCAAGGGGATAAGACACAACCTATGAAGCTAGCTGCATCCACTGCAGCACAAGTTGGATCCCCAGCCTGGGAGCTACCCACATGGCCCAGCAGACCTCTCCTGTCTCGCCCACTACTCCCCTCAGCAATGTATTTAAGTCAATCCACCTGTTCTGTTTCCCACTCTGTCTCTGGTGAATTCTGTCTCTCACCCCCACAACTCTGGCCTGTACCCCAGTTCTTGTATGCATAAATAAACAAATCTTTAAAAAAGTAAAGGCCATATATGTACTTGTGTTTTATTCATGACACCAAACAAAAAGGACTTATTTTGCTTTTCAATTTTTACATGAGAGCAGATATTTATTTTGGAAAATCATATCCCCTTTGTACATGAAGCAGAGGTAACTTACATTTTGTTATTCTTATGTTTATAACTTAGACATTACGATGAACTCAATGAATTTTAGAGTTAGAAAAAATTTAGAGATCATGTTAGCTAACATCCTACCAAATTAAAAATGTGTCTTTCCACTTCTGTGTAGCTGTCATGGACAGTTCTAGGGCCTCAGTGCATCTCTAGGACACCACATTTACTTACTTAAAGGTGAAAGCATTTAACATCTTCCTCATTGAGCTACATCTGCTCTGCTATTTTGATTTTACTATTTCTTTTCACAATAGGTGAAAGGACAGATCTAGTCCTGCTAATAGGTAACAATCCTGCAGATATGTGAAGCTATTTATACAATTTTCTATAATCAATTAATTTTTGAAAGATACTAAATTTTTTCACTATTTGTCATTTTTAATGTCCTGTTTCATGAGCTCACAGCTTGCAATTATATACTTTCAAATCCTGATATTTTAAAAGACATGTTTTTCTGGTTGGACCAAGTGATTAGAAGCCTACAGATTCTTATTTTAAAGATTTTTTATTTATTTATACAAGAGCTGGGGTACAGACCAGAGGCATGGGAGTTTGAGAGAATTTACCAGAGACAGAGCGGGGAGCAAAACAGGCAGATCTACTGAAATACACTGCTGAGGGGAGCAGTGGGTGAGACAGGAGAGGTCTGCTGTGCCATGTGGTATCTCCCTGGCTGGCCAGAAATCGAACCCATGCTACAGAAGCTGTGGACATCTCCCCAGCGCTGTGTTCAACGGGCTGTGCCACCAGGGAGGCCCATATAGATTCTTTACCATTAATTAGCAGAGAATATTTATTCTACAAGTTCATGAGCACCAATACATGTGCAGAAAGGATGACTGAAATTAAACCATTGTGTACTGTATTCTTAGAATATAAATGTGAAATGCTTTGACATTTATTGGGAGATTCTGTTCAAATGAAAGTTTTCTTGGAAATCATCTGACTTCTATGTCATGCCATTTTTAGGATTATAAAAACTCATTTGTGATTGATAGCCTGGGATAAAGACATGTTTTATAACAATGGAATGCATACTCTATATTATTGGGTTTGATCTTGAATGATGAGTTTATTTCATGAAAAATTAAAATTTTATGCTAGACAAACCATTGCCCACATATCCAGGTTTAAAAAAAATGGCTATTATATTCCCACTTTAAGTGGAATTAGATTGACATTTAGTGTTATAATATTAAGAGATGCTGTTTGATTTTTGGTAGCAATGTATCGGTAGCTACACACTTTCAGATAATAGGGATATTTATTAGAGTAAAACATTATTCAAAAAGTAAATTGATGGGCATCCCATGGTGGCACAGGCAGTTAAAAAGCACTGTGAAGCTGTCCGCAGCCTCTGCAGCGCTGGTTCGATCACGGCCAGCTGGTGAGAATTCCACATGGCACGGCAGACCTCTCTTGTCTCACCTGCTACTCCCCTCAACAGTGTATTTCACTCAGCCTGCCTGTTCTGTTCCCTGCTCTGTCTCTGGTGAATTCTCTCACCCTCCCACACATCTGACCTGTACCCAAGTTCTTGCATGAGTGAATAAATAAATCTTCAAAAAATATAAAGTAAACTGGGGCCTCCCTGGTAACACAAGATGTTAAGTGTCAGCACTATGAAGTGATCTGCAGCCACTGCAGCATGGGTTCGATCCCTGGCCAGGGAGATACCCACATGGTAAAGCAGACCTTTCCTGTCTTGTCCACTGCTCCCTCAGCAGTGTAATTCAGTAGATCCACCTGCTCTGTTCCCACTCTGTCTTTGGTGAATCCTTTCACTCTCCTACCCCTCTGCCCTCCACCCTAGGTTTTGTACACATTATAAATAAATCTTTAAAAAAAGTAAATTAATGACATGTTAATTTGATTAATAGAAGTAAGTTGTCTTTTTTTAATATTCTTGAATCTAACACCAAATAATAATATTTTTCAGTAATTTGATTCTATTAAAACAACTAAGCTGAAATTCCAGGTAACTAGGTATAATAATTAAATCAATTTAGCAGAAAAATACTCTGCAGGAACAATCAATATAATTTCACATTTGAGTCCCAGGGTATTGGCCAGCACCTGCAAATGCCCAGAGCTCCCACAAACTCTGCTTGTGCCAAGAGATTTCATTGCCTACTCACTAGGGGCCAAAACAGGATTGAAATGGACTTAAATTTTCTCCACAGCTCTCATTTTTCTGATGGTGACTGATTTCAGAGATCAGGACTTTGAGATAAGTGTCAGCTGCTTGCACCGACAGCTTCTCCTGTTGTGGGAAGATACATTTGAATATGCTCTGGTGAGTTTCCTTAGGGTCTAAAAGCTAGATCACACAGTTAATGGAAAGGGCATAAGACACTGGTTTGGAGTGGGTGAGAGAAACAACCATTGTCATTTAACTTGTTAAATATGAAATACTATGGATGAGCTCTGATTAAAGGAAATTAGGAATCTGGGAGAGAATAATGTAAATGTTTTCCATTCCAAGAAACATTTTTTGGAGTGCCAATTTTATGTCCATCACAGTGTCTTTCTTTGTATAATCTCATATAAGTATTTGAGCATGAATCTATGATAGAATGAAACTGTTTGAGATACATTGTATTCATATCATAAATACTCTTATAATAGTGACTTATAAGACATGTGAGATGCTTTTTGCTTCAGAAATCACAGAAATAATAGTTCAAATATTGTAGAAAAATTTAAAAATTCAGAATGAATCCAACAGTTTCAGAAAGCAACATAACCATATTTTCCATTTTTCCAAAATAAGGATCAAAAAGAAACCATACATACATATGTTGTGCATATGTGTATATATACATATGTGTGTGTGTGTGTGTGTGTGTACCATGCCTCATGTCATAACAATCAACCAGCCTTCTAAACTCTTCTGGTTCTTAGAAGAAAACTCATAGAAAATAGAAGAAGATTCTGAATGGACTGGTGAATGGTCAATTTATTAGAAATGTAAAGAAAAGGACTGGGATCAAAACAACTTGTAAAAATGATTAAGTACATCATACTTAATCCACTTAAAGAATTTTATTATGTCTTGAAAACACTATCCATCTAAACAACAATGTTTAAAGACATTAATATTTTCCTAAAATGGTGATAGGTGTATAACATTTTGTTACAGGATAGAGAATAAATTGGAGACAATGAAATGGTGAATTAAAGAGGTAAAACTGATGTAAAGGTCCGGATCAACCCTGAAAATAGGGATTTCTTTGAAGTCAAAAGTGACCATCTTAATCTTCATGATTAAAGTGATCTCTAACTAATAAAGCAAAAGTAATCTGAAATAATATCTAAGAACTAACTAAAGTGACATCTTGAGTCCATTTATTTCTTCCTGCTTTTATGCTTGTTATCATAATTAATTACAGCAACAGTATATTAAAAATATTAGGTAGATATTTATAATCCATAATGTGACAGTTATTTTTTACCTATCCATGTACACACACATACACAAAACTAAATAAATTTATAAATAATTTATAGATGTTTATATATGGTCTAATCTAACATTAATCTTTAATATATATTTTCAAGATACAGAAAAGATACATATGTTGTAAATAACCAAAACTGCATTTAATTCCACTGTGTGTCTCTGTATAAATTATTGGCAAGAGTAGATTTAAATTAATGGAAAGACCAACAAAACTTTTGGATAAATAAAGCAATATGAGAATACATAGGAAATTAATTCTTTTTGTTGGGTTCCATAAAGAAAAAATAAGCAACCTTCTCCCAGTTTCATAGAAATGGAAATTTTTGGAGTCTTCAGAACCTCACCTGGAAAGTTTCAGTTACAAGAGATGATGCCCAGATGAATAAATAAATGTGTCATAATCAGCTCTAGAAATGCAGGGGTCACCTTCAAAGTCTCCCTTTAATATTGTCTAAAATAGAATTACTTGGTCATACTTAACAGTATGTTAACATTCCTGTGGATCACACAGACACACACAATAGCTGAAGCAGTTCTCAAATAACTTTTACTTGTGTGAGCAAGGGACTGTCTCATCTATGCCAAAACTTTTCTATCAACCACAAACTTAACAGTTTCCCAGTAATATTACACACTTCACTACAAGAACTGTGTAATGGAAATATCATCACCCTCAGATTCCAAGTAAATCAGTACAGGAACACCATGGATTTCAGGCTGAACAACTAAAAAGGAGGCTCATTTTCCTATATGTTCAGGTCAGGCTAGCAATTAGCAATAAATACAATCATTCCCTCACCATGTCTAATAATTCCTAATAATATATGTTTTATTTCTTTATATTCATTTCTCTGCTTATTCCTATCATGTTCTGAGAACATAGTGTTTATATCTTAATCTTTGTTTTCCAAATAGTTATCAAATCCATTTTCAAAAAAATTCAAAAACAATTTTCAAGGCTACCTAAAATATTAACATGAAAATAATTTTTCAGTTATGTTTTATAGTTTGTCAATATTTTTGCTACTGCCCTAAATTTAAATTTATTGTTTAATATTAAATATTTTAATTCTAATTATTCAGATGACTTAATAGTTATCTAAATATCTACATGGCTTAAGATGTAGTGTGTATCAAAGTTTTCCTAAATATTTGCTTTTTCTAAAGAGTTTGCACAAATTTGACCATACTGTCAAACAAATTTGCACAAATTTGAATGTTATAAGATTTTTCCTTTTTTTGTTCATGAAATAAGTATCATTATTTTGCATATGTATGAATTTTATTAAAGTAATATTGATTTATAAGATGGTACACAATTTAGGGATCAAGATTCACACCTCTTCAGATACATGTTCCATATATAATACCATATACCACATAACATATATGACTTAATTCATAATGAACATTTTTTTTTGCATCTCAACTAATGTATTGGATAAAAAATATTCCATAGCTGTTTTACATTTTATTTAATTAAAAAATAATAATAATAATAATAATAATAATCAATCTATTCCTTTCCAATTCATTTGGAAAATGTTTTTCAGAGCAATTTTTATGATATTTTGTGCAAATGATAATAGTTATTTAAATATCACAATTATACCATTTAATGTTTCATAATTTCACTTAATGAGAATATAAATGCTTACCTAATGAAGACAAAATATTAGGATTTTACTGCTCAAATATAAAACAAAATTATAAAATAGCATAATAAATGCATTGTAATGAAAAAGAATTGATAGCTAAAAGATTTATAAATGTAGTGTATGAACTGCATAAGTCTTTTTATATAAAACAAAATTCAATGTTCTAGCCCTTTAACAATATTATAGATTTTAAAGTATATTGTATTAGGGCCTCCCCGGTGGCATAGCAGTTGAGTGCTGGGTTGTGAAGCTGCCTGCAGCCTCTGAGGCACTGGTTCAAACCCTGACCACCAAGCGAGGGTCCCACATGGCACGCAGACCTCTCCTGCCGTGCCCGCTGCTTCCCTCAGCGGTGTATTTCGTCAGTCTGCCTGTTCTACTCTCCGCTCTGGCTCTGGTGAATTTTCTCATGCTCCTGTGCTTCTGACTGTACCCCAGTGCTTGTATAAATAAATAAATAAAACTTAATTTAAAAAAAAATAAAGTAGATTGTATTAAATTTACTCCAACATAAATTTTTCTTTCCTTTGACTGAAATGGCAATACTAAAATTTATAATCCTCTTTATCCATGTTTCTGAGTAAAAATCATTGAAAATTTCTCCACTTAATTAATTGTATAAAGAACTACCTTCACATTAATGATGAAGTGGTGATTTCTTCAAGTAATTTCATTCTTAACTTGATTGAATCCAGGTGGATTATGAGGTTCAATAACTAATTTCCACTGGTTCTATCTTGTTTTGCAGTGAACATCACCGTGAAATCAAGGACAATGGTTAATTTCACTCTGAGTGGGTTTCTTCTAATGGATTTTCTGCCAAGCCTGAGCTAGAACTCGTCCATGCTTCTCTCTTCTTAGTCTTATACATGATGGCAGTAACTGGCAATCTCCTCATTATTGCCACAATTTCTATGGACAATAGTCTCCACTCACCCATGTATTTCTTCTTGAAACATCTCTCCTTTCTGGATCTGTGCTACATTTCTGTGACTGTGCCAAGGTCCATTTACAACTCTTTCATGCATAGTGGCTACATTTCCCTTGGGGAATGCATAGTGCAGTGCTATGCTTTCACTCTCTGTGGTTCTGCTGAGCTGTCCATGCTCACAGTGATGTCTTATGATCGCTACGTGGCCATCTGCCTTCCACTTCGCTATGAAATCATCATGGATTCTAGCAAATGTGTTCACAGTGTCTTAGGCGTCTGGATCAGTGCGGCCATTTCTGGAGCCATGCACACAGCTGGCACTTTCTCCATCCACTTCTGTGGTTCCCATATAATTCACCAATTCTTCTGTGACATCCCCCAGCTCCTGAAACTCTCTTGTTCGAATGAGTATATGAATGAGTTTGGGATAAGTTACTTCTTAGCTCTTATGGCTTGTCTGTGTGTCACCTTTATTGGTCTTTCCTACACAAAGATATTTTCTACTGTGCTAAGGATGCCATCTGCTGAGAGCAGAGCTAAAGCCTTTTCCACTTGCCTTCCCCATCTCGCTGTTGTCATTTTATTCATTTCAACCAGCGTCTTTGAGTTTCTCAAGCCACCTTCTGACTCTCCAAGTGCACTGGACATTTTTCTCACTATTATGTACACTGTTGTGCCTCCATCACTCAACCCAATGATCTACAGCCTAAGAAATCAAGCCATGAAGACAGCCCTCAGAAAGGTTTTCCAAAGAAGGAAAGCTGACCTCGTTTGTTGAAGCACATCTGTAAATTCTTAGCTGGGAAACAAATTCAAAATATATTAGAACTCTTGACTTAAATAAATTGAGACAAATAATAATTAAGAGATTTTAGGGGCCTCCCGGTGGCACAGCGGTTGAGCGCTGGGCTGCAAAGCTGCCCGCAGCCTCTGCAGTGCCGGTTCGATCCCTGACCACCAGGGAGGGTCCCACATGGCGCGTAGACCTCTCCTGCCATGCTCGCTGCTCCCCTCAGCAGTGTACTTCATCAGTCTGCCTGTTCTGTTCCCCTCTCTGGCTCTGGTGGATTCTCTCACCCTGTGCTTGTATAAATAAATAAATAAATAAATAAATAAATCTTTTTTTTTTTTTTTTTTTTAAGATTTTAGGAAAGAATCAAGAATGGTGAATCAAGCATAGAAACAATCTCCAGATAGATCTGGAAGAGCTGCCTAAACTCTGAGCTTTTCAGTAAGAATTTTATAGAATTTACAAGAAAAAAATGTTAAGGAAAACAAGGACAGTTGCTAAAAATTACCCTATTCCCAGCTTTGTAAACTGGGGACTAGGCGTTTCAGCCCTGCTGCAAACCTTGAATTCTTTCTTTGGAGTTACTGATTTACCAAGAAGCAGCAATTTCCAAAATGCCACTTTTTCACAAAAAGCATGTTTTTCATGTACAGTAGCTTCAGGGCTAGGGCAGTTACTTCTTCACCTTAACTTGTGCCCCTTACTTGGGGCCAAGGAGAATGTTTCTCAAATTGTTAGCTGTGGTTCCCCAAACATGGCACAGCCAGGCAAGAATTTAAAATTCAATAGAGAAAAGATCACAGGGAAAGGTGTCATGTCACAAGTTTACCATAAATATGTGCTGAGTAACAAAATTATTCACACACATAACTCCATAAACTTTATTCCTGAAAATACAATATATTAAAATCTTTCCACAAAAAGCCATGTGTGAAAAAAAAGACATTACCATGATTTTTAAAAGGTTAATATAATCCCTTCCCTAGTCAATTCTGTCCAGATGATGGAAGACAGTAAACATGAGATTCTTTTCTCTTTTTTTCCTGAGTTACATTGGAGTTGCAATATCACATGGAAATCTATGAATTGTTGAAAACCACCAGACTCTCAGCACCCACTACCCATGGAGAGTCCACTGTGGTCTACACACCACAAGGCCTGTAGAAGCAATACACTGAATTCACTCTGCAAAAATCTCATTAAACCTTTTCTTTGCCTCTTAAAATGCTATTGAATAATTGCCAGTCATATGGGAGGAGTCTTTGAATAACAGAATATCTGTGAGTTACTATGAAATACGTATTTCTAAATGTTAAATGACTCATAGAAGAATATAAAATATTATTTTAAAATTCAAAATGAATAGACATTTAAAAAGCACATAGAAAATATATATAATTATATATGAATATATATACATACACATACAATTTGTAGCTATCAGGATGGATTAATTAATGAATAAAATAGGGAAGGACATAATTACCAAACTGAAAGATAAGTTTTCAAACACAAATAAAGTGTTTCCACCAAATGTACAAATGAAGTGAAATGAAACACTGAGAAAGAGATTGAATCATAAATGATAGGAAGGTAGAGTATAATATTGACCTATTAAAATTTGCATACATCTGTTCCCAGTTATTTTCCCTTGCTTTATGGGCATAGCAACAAACAATATTTTAAAAAATATTTTTTATGTTTTTTAAAAATATTTATTTATACAGTCAGAAGTGCAGGAAGGTGAGAGAATTCACCTGAGCCAGAGCGGGGAACAGAACAGGCAGACTATGAAATACACTGCTGAGGGGAGCAGCCAGAGCGGCAAGAGAGGTGTGTCACACCATGTGTGACCCTCACTGGCAGCCAGGGATTGATCTGGTGCTGCAGAGGCTGCGGGCAGCTTCGCAGCCCAGCACTCAACCACTGCACCAAGGGAGGCCCAATATATTTTTTATGTTTATCCAAAAATAATAGCGATGCAAATCATGAAGTTTGAGAAACAAAAATTGGTTAATGTGTTTAAAGTATATTCATAAGTACAATATCTATTAAAACAATAGAGTAACAAAGATGAGTATGCTAATATTTGCATTAAAACTTTACTGTTTTATCCTTTGCATTCAACAATCCATTTAAACTTATTTTTAGGAGATAGGTATCAACATGGCAGTGGGGAAATGCTGCCAGTATGTCCTCCCATAAAAAAAAAAAAAATGTTAGGGCCTCCCCTGTGGCGCAGCGGTTGAGCACTGGGTTGTGAAGCTTCCTGCAGCCTCTGCAGCGCTGGTTCTATCCCCAGCCACTGGGCGAGGGACCCACATGGCGCGCAGACCTCTCCTGCCGCCCGCTGCTCCCCTCAGCAGTGTACTTCGTCAGTCTGCCTGTTATGTTCCCTGCTCTGGCTCTGGTGAATACTCTCACCCTCCTGCGCTTCTGACTGTACCCAGTGCTTTTATAAATAAATAAATAAATAATAAATAAATCTTAAACGGGCAACTCTGGCAAACTGCCCAAAGAGGAAAGTTGACATAAAAGAGGAAGAGGAGGAGGAAAGCTCAGAACCCTGTTACCCAGCTCCACCCACAAAGTTGGCACTCTCTGACCAGCAGAAAGGAGGAAAAAAAAGAAAAAAAGGGAATAAACTACAGATCAAGTGGGACACTGAGTAGAAAGCAACTATTTCGGGCACCGCACCCTGCAAACGGGAACTGTGGAGAACCATGCAGTAATCACCACAGAGGTGAGTAAACGACTCCGGGTGCCATTAGAGGAAAACAAGGACTCCCCAGAGACCTACAAATACCCACCACGGCCAGCAGGTAAACTTCTGTGGAAAAGCAGCACGCACTAGAAAAGCATACGTGGATTGCAGCTGCCCAGGTCCTTGCGTCCACAACCTAGGTTTGCGGGGAGACAAGCGGGAGCAGTCACTGAAGTGAATGTCCCTCACTGAATAATCATTAACCAGGCTCCTGGACATGGGAGCGGGGTGCAAAAGGTGCCATTTCTGCAGACACTGAACTAAGCTACAGCCCGTATCCTGTATCTGAGTGCTTCGGAGCTGAGAACCAGGGCACGGAATTCAGGGCATGGGATCCACACGGCTGTGTGGCACAGGGAAGACACGACACCCCCACCCCATTGAGGCAGTCCACACCACCCCTATTCTGTTCCCCAGACCTACAGAGGGAAAAAAAAAATATTCTGGAAGGACACTAGGAATGATCTCTGGCACCACCTAGTGACCAGAACAAAATAACCAACATCCTGATAGTTGGAAACCAGGAATCCCAAAAAAACCCTCAGGCTCTGAGAGAGGTTGGGCCATGCAAATGGCGGTAAGAAGGGAAATACGGTGTGGAGCAGGAAGAACCCCATTCTGGAACTGAAAGCCAGGCACAGGATGCAGGGCATGGGACAAGCCATAGCAGCAGGCACTGCACAGGGTGACAGCCAGTGTTTTGGATCTGATAGCCCTGGAACTGAGACCTAGAGCAGAACTCAGGGCGTGGGATCCAAACAGCTGCGGGCACAGAACTGGGTAAACATGGGGCAGACACAGCACCCAGAGAACCACTGGGAAAAAGCTCAGGTCAGCAAGTATGGTCTCTGGTGCCACCTCATGACCAGAACAAAATCACCAACTAGCTGATTCCCTGTTGGAACTGAGTAAATACAGAGGGAAGGAACTGTAAGGGACAGTGCCCAGCAACACAGCATCAACACCCTGGAGGAGTTTTGGCCTACCAATGCTGGTCTCTGTCTGGTAAACAGTTTCTGACATGCCTAAAGGAGCACTCCAAAGAGATGCCTGCCAACGCCAGTCACACAATGTCCCAGTGCATAGAACTAATTAGAAAGGAAACAACAGGGAGAAGAAAAAATACAAATGGCCAAGCAAGCTCGCAGGAGAAGGACACACCATAAAAAGAAGTACAGTCACCAGAGCTCACCAATGACGTGGAAGAACTTCTCAACCTATCAGATAGAGAACTAATGATCATCATGATTAAAAAGCAGAAAGAAAGAAAACGAAAAGAAAAAAAAAATGATTTGAGACAAATAATCACTGAAGAATGAAATTGAGACCTTAAGAAAGGAAAGAAAAGAAACACAGGAGATTAAAAGATTACTAGAGTAGATAAAGCACTCTGGTAAAGCAATTGAAACAGAATCAATGAAATGGAAGAATGGATCAGTACTATCGAAGATGCAGAAAAAAAAGAGCCAAGAGAAAAGGAGAGAGAAGTGCAAATGAAGAAGTATCAGGATAAATTATCAGACTCCATGAAGAGAGGAAATGTAAGAGTTACAGGCATTCCAAAAGGTGAGGAGAGAGACAAAGGAACAGAAATAAATCAAGGAGATAATTGAAGAAAACTTCCCAAGCATGAAAAAAGAGATGAATATAGACATACATGAAGAGAGAAGAACTCCCAGCTACCACAATGAAAAGAAAAATACAGCAAGACACTTAGTAGTAAAGCTTGCAAGAGTCCTAGACAAGGAAAAAAGAATGAAACTGGCAAGGGGGAAGAAACAGATAAGTTATAAGGGAAAACCAAACAGGTTAACTTAAGACTTCTCCAAAGAAACATTACGGGCACAAAGAGAATGGAGTAACATATTTAGCAAACTTCAACACAGAAAATGCCAACCAAGAATACTTTACCCTGCAAAGCTCTCCTTTCTCTTTGAAGAAAACATATGGACCTTCTCAGATAAAAAGGAACTCTAGAAACTGATTACAACTAAACCCCCTCTCCAAAAAATTCTACAAGAAGTCCTAAAGCCAAAACCAATATAGGAATGAACAAGAACAAAATAAAGCAAGGAATAAAATCACAAAGAAGACAAACAAAATGACAATACAGATGCCAACATATCAATATTAACTCTAAATGTAAATGGATTAAACTCATCCATAAAAAAATACAGAGTAGTAGGCTGAATTAAAAAACAAAATCCACCATCTGCTGTCTCCAGGAAATACATTTAACCACAAAAGATAAACATAGACTGAAAGTAAAAGCTTGGAAAACAATCCTCAAGCAAATGGACTAAAAAAGAAGACAGGAACAGCCATACTTATATCAGATAAAATAGACTTCAAATTAAAAAAGTTAAAAGAGGCATAGACAGACATTATATTATGATCAAGGGGACAATACATCAGGAAGATATAACACTCATCAACATATACTCACCAAATGAAGGGGCACCAAAATATATTAGACAATTGTTATCAGCTCTGAAAACAGATATTAAAGAAAATACATATATAGTGGGAGACTTCAACACCCCACTCTCACCAATGGACAGATCAATGAGACAAGAAAGAAGCAAAGACACTAGAGCCCTAAATAAAGACATAGAACTCATGGACTTAACAGACATCTACAGGACACTGCACCCCAAAAAATCTGAGTACACATTTTTCTCAAGTGTACATGGATCATTCTCCAGAATCAATCATATACTGGAACACAAGACAGACACCAACAGATACATGAAGATCATTCCAATTATCTTTTCTGATCATAAAGGCATCAAACAAGAAATTAATCACGAAAAGAACACAAGGAAACCTCCCACTTCATGGAGATTGAAATCCACACTACTGGAAGACCACTGGACTAATGAGGAGATCAAAGAAGAAATTAAAAAATACTTTGAAATGAATGACAAGGAGGACACCACTTTCCAGAATGTATGGGATGCAGCAAAAGCAGTAATAAGAGGAAAATATATAGAGATACAGGCTCACATCAAGAAATAAGAAAGAGCTCAAAGAAATAACCTAATATCACATCTCAAAGATCTAGGAAAAGAACAACAAAAAGCCCTAAAAATCAAAGCAGAAATAAACAAAATGGAAATTAATAAACCAATGCAAAAGATCAATGAAACCAAAAGTTGGTTCTTTGAAAAAATAAGCAAAATAGACAAATCTCTAGCCAGGCTCACAAAGAAAAAATGGGAGAAATCACATATAAAAAAGATTATAAATGAAAGAGGAGAAATCACAATAGACTCACTAGAAATCAAAAGAATAATCAGAGATAACTATGAACACTTACATGCAAACAAATTCAACAACCTAGAAGAGATGGACCAATTCCTAGAATGATATAATCATCCAAAAGCTGTACAAAGAAGAAATAGAAGAACTAAACAGACCAATTATGAGCAGCAAAATTGAGCCAGTAATCAAAGCACTACCCAAAAACAAAAGCCCAGGTCCAGACAGCTTCACAAATGAATTCTACCAAACATTCAGCAGTGAATTAGTGTCTATGCTACAAAAAACTTTCAAAAAATTGAAAAAGAAGGAATACTATCAAATACATTCTATGATGCCAACATTACACTAATACCAAAACCAAACAAAGACAGCACAAAAAAGAAAATTACAGGTCAGACTCCCTAATGCACACTCATGCAAAAATCCTCAACAAAGTCCTTGCCAACAGAATCCAACAATGCATCAGGGATAGTACACCACGATGAAGTAGGATTCATCCCAGGGCACAAAGATGGTTCAACATACAAAAATCTATCAGTGTATCCAACACATCAACAGAAAGAAAAATAAAAAACATATGATCATATCAATAGATGCTAAACAATCATTCGACAAAGTCCAACATCCATTTACGATGAAGGCCCTTGAAATTCTCGGGATGGAAGGAACATACCTTAACATGATAAAAGCCATATATGACAAACCCATTGCCAACATTATTCTCAATGGCAAAAAGCTGAAGGTCTTTCCTTTAAGATCAGGAACAACACAAGGATGTCCTCTCTCACCAATGCTCTTCAATATAATACACAGGGCAACAAAACAAGCAAAAGACATACAAGGAATCCAAATTGGGAAAGTAGAAGTAAAACTATCACTATTTGCAGATGAGATGATAATATACAGAGAGAACTCTAAAAGCTCCGCAGAAAAATTACTCAAAATAATCAACCAGTTCAGTAAATTAGCAGGACACAAAATCAACACGCAAAAATCAGTAGCCTTCCTTCCTATACACAAACAATCATTATGAAGAAGAAGAAATCAAGAAAACCATCCCTTGTATAATTGAAACAAAAAAAAAATACTTGGGAATAAACCTAACAAAAGACATGAAGGACATATACAAAGATAATTATAAATCACTGTTAAAAAAATTAAAGAAGACACAAAGAAATGGACAGAAATCCCTTGCTCATGGATTGGAAGAATTAACATTATCAAAATGTCCATCCTACCAAAAGCAATATACAGATTCAATGATATTCCAATAAAAATTTCAATGGCATTCTTCAAGAAATAGAACAAATACTGATGAAATTCATATGGAACCACAAAAAAAAAAACAAAATAGCCAAAGCCCTGTTGATGAAAACAAAGGAGAAAGGAGGTATCACACTTCCAAACTTCAAGCTATACTACAAAGCCATAATAATTAAAACAGTTTGGTATTGGAACAAAAACAGACCCACAGACCAATGGAACCAAGTAGAGTGCCCAGAAATACAACCACACTTATATGAACAAGTAATCTTTGACAAAGGAGCAAAGAATATGCAATGGAACATGGACAGTTTGTTCAATAAATGGTGCTGGGGAAACTGGACCTCCACATGCAAAAAAATGAAACTAGACCACTACCTCTCACCGTGCACAAAAATCAACTCAAAATGGATAAAAGAACTGGACATAAGTCCTGAAACCATAAAATATGTAGAAGAAAGCATAGGTAAAACACTACTAGACATACATCTCAGAAACGTCTTCAAAGACTCATCACCCAAAGCAAGATAGTGAAGGCAAAGATGAACACTTGGGATTACATCAAACTGAAAAGCTTCTGTACAGAAAAGGAGACATTAATCAAAACAGAGAGACACCCCACTGACGGAAAAAATCTTTGCACTCCATTCAACTGATAAGATATACAACTGATAAGATATATGGCTCAACATAATCAAAATAAGCAATCCAGTCAAGAAATGGGCAGAAAAACTTAAAAGACATTTCTCCAAAGAGGAAATGAAAATGGCTAACAGGCATATGAAAAATTGTTCAACATCCCTTATAATCAGGGAAATGCAAATCAAAACTACATTGAGATATATAAAAATAAAATTTATTAATTAAAAAAATAAAAAAATAAAAAAAATAAAAAGTTAAAAAAAAAAAAGAATGTAGAGAGGTTGTATCTCCTTAACAATTGCACTCATATTTCTATGACTTTTGTAGTTTCTTCATTGGCCCTGATGTGTATGAAAAAAAAAAAAAAAAACTACATTGAGATACCCACCTTACACCAGGAAGAATGACACATATAAAAAAACAAGCAACAACAAATATTGGCAAGGATGTGGTGAAAAAGGAACTCTCCTACGTTGCTGGTGGGAGTGCAAACTGGTCCAACCACTATGGAAAGCTGTATGGAGGTTCCTCGGTCTACTAAAAATGGAGCTACCATATGACCTGAAAATTCCACTACTAGGGATCTACCCAAAGGATACAAAAACATTGATTCAAAAGAACACCTGGGGGCCTCCCCTGGTGGCACAGCAGTTGAGCGCTAGGCTGCGAGGCTGCCCACAGCCTCTGCAGCGCCGGTTCATTCCCCAGCCACCAGCGAGGGTCCCACAAAAAACAAAAAACAACAACAAAAAAAAACCCCAAAAACCAAAAAAACCAAGAACAAAAGAACACCTGTACACTATATATATATATATATATATATATATTTATATATAGCAGCATTATTTATATAATAGGTAAAACCTCGAAGCAACCCAAATGCCCAAAAATAGATGACTGGCTCAGGAAGATGTGGTGTATATACACAATGGAATATTATTCAGCAATAAAAAAAGATAAACTCGTGCCATTCGCAGCAATGTGGATGGAGGCAGAAGGAATTATAGAAGCAATGTGGATGGAGGTAGAAGTGAAATAAGCCAGAAAGAAAAAAGAAAAATATCAGATGGTTTCACTTATAACAGGAATATAGGGGAACCAAAAATAGCATCAGTTTAAAAAATAATAACAGTACAAAACACAATAAAGCAAAAACAGACAATTATAAATCAGAGACATACTGCAGGGGAGGAGGAGGAAGAGGGATCAGAGTGGGGGGGAGCACAGGGGACTGTGATGATGGTGCACAGGTACCTTGGGGAAGGAAATTCTATGGGGACTCATCCTGAAGGGATGAGGGGAAGCAAATATTGTTTAAAAATTAAAAAAAAAATGTATTGTAAAAGGTTAATGTAAAATAAAAAAAAATTTAAAAAAATAGCTTATTTTTTGTGTATGTTGTGAAGCAGAAGTTGTGGTTCATTTTCTTCCAAGTAATATGCAGCTGACTCAGTATAATTGAGAAATAAACTCCTCAATGAATTTCAGTGTCATTAACTGAGAAATGTTGTTTGCTAGTGAATTTTATTTTTCTTTGTCAAATTATGTTATAGGCGTGGGAGTCTCTAATCTCTTCAATTGGTGTATGTGTTATGATTATATTATCAAACTGTTAATTACTGTCAATTCACAGTACTTTATTATATCATGGACTCCAAATTTTCTAACTCTATTCTTCCAGATTGCTTACACTTCTCTAGTTTCCTTCTATATTCATACAAACTTTAGAATCAGTTTTCCAATTCCAAAACATACATACTGAAATTTTCATTGGAATTACATTCAATCTAGAGATAAAGAAGAAAAATGGAAAAGATCATGTCTTCCAATCCATGGTCAGGAAACTTTATACGCTTATTTAAGGTTTCAAAAATTCTTATTATTTTATATAATTATTAGTGTAATGACTTTGTACATATTTTTTGTTAATACATCAATCCATTTCTCTATTGGAAATTTCCTGCATTTTAACATTATGTAAGTTTCAGGTGTGCACCATTAAAAATCAACTTGTGTGTGTTCTGCATTAAGTTCACTAAAGCTCTGATTCTGTTCTTCTCTACACGATTGACCCATAGCACCTGACACATTATACCACTAAGAGTGGTCCTCTTCCCCTTTCCTTCTGGTAACCACTAATTACCAAAAGTTTGTTTTTGTGTTATTTAATTCATCTGTTTGTCTGGCTTCTCTATATGCCACATATGAGTGAAATCCTACTGTATTAGTCTTCTTTTTGTGACTTATTTCACTAAGCATAATTCCCGCAGGGCCATCCACACTGTGACAAATGGTGGATTTCATTCTGGGACACCTGAGTGATATCCATTGTGTGATAAACCACATCCTTTTTAGCCAACGGACTGTCTCTGGACACGTTGGTTGCTTCTTACTTAGATTTATTGTCATAATAACTGCAATAAATATGTCAACACATATATCTATTGATTTAACATTTTAGTAATTTTTTTGTATATACCCAGAATAAGGATAACTGGATCTCACGGAATTTCTATTTTATTTATTTTCTTTATTTGTTAATGTAACATTAATTTGCAACACTGTTATAATTTAGGAGAGTAGGCTCACATCCCTCAGATGTATTTCACTACCCACCACCCCATCAAAACACTCATAGCACTTGACCCTGGACCTTGGGCCACCTCCTCATCCCACCCCAACCTTCCTACCACTCTAATAGCCTTAACTCTGTAGTCATATTTGTAGGGTTTATTTGTTTCAACTTTGTCAGTTGCTTTTTCCTCTACATTAAATAAATGAGTGAAAATCTGGTGTTTGTGTTTCTCCTTGACACTCAGCATAATCCCCTCCAGTTACATCCCTGTTATTGCAAATGGCAAGAGTTCATCATTTTTTATAGCTCAGTAGTATTCTATTGTTTATGTATACCACATCATCTTAATATACTGCACTTAGTTATACAGAGGACTGTTGTCTATATTTTTAATTTTTTTGAAAATCATAATGTTTTCTATAATATCTGTGCCATTTTACATTTCCACAATCAGTGTACAAGGGGTGTACTCTTTCCTTATCTCCTTCAACACTTGTTGATTATTTTTGATTGATAGGCATTGAGAGATTTGAGGTTGTAGCTCACTGTGGTTTTGATTTGTTTTTCCTTATTGCTAAGAGATGATGAACAATTTTTCATGTCAGTATTAGCCAACAATATGTTTACTTCTAAGGAGTCACTCTTCACATCTTCTGCCCCTTTATTTTTAGGGTTTTTATAATTATTTTGAGTATTATGAGTAATTTGTACTTTGGATAGTAACCATTTATCAGCTATCTGAGGTGTAAATATTTTCTACAAATTTAGTAGTATATTCTTCAATATGAAGAAGTTTCTAGTTTGATGTAGTCTCTTTGCTTTATTTTTTGCGTGTGTTTTACTTGCTGAGTCCCAAATACATCTCTAAGGAAGACGTCTGGTTTTCGTTTACTGTGCATCTTTGTAAAATACTTTTCCATGTACTTTTAAAAAATTATTTTTTAAATAAAGTAACTTTATCTTGCATCATTGTTAATATTTGTACAATATATGTACTTGATGCTATTCCATGTTGTATTTTAAAAATAGCCTACCTTTAAATGTTAGCCAGTATTTATTTATTTATTTATTTATTTATTTAAGAAATGGGGTACAGGCCAGAATCGCAGGGGGTGAGAAAATCCACCAGAGAGAGCAGGGAGCAGAACAGGCAGCTGTACCAAAACACACTACTGAGGGGAGCAGCAGGAGAGGTCTACCTCACTATGTGGGTTGCTTCCCAGCCAGCCCAGGATCTAACTCATGCCAAAAGGCCCCAGGGTGTTTATAGCACTGCACTCAACCCCTGAGCCACCAGGGAGGCCCTAGCCAGTATTTAGACATATGATCAACTTTTACTCAATGACCTTATTCAATGATTTCCCTAAATTCACCTATATATGACAATCGAACTTTACAGAATCTTTTGATTTCCATTTATACCTCATGACCTGTTGTCAGTAAATGCTTTGCATTGTTCCCTTTTGTTTTGAAGCTTTCATTTTTTTAATGCTGAGTAGGAACTTTAGGTCAGTGTTCAGTAGAAATGGTTAATAAAAAATTGTGTCAAAATGTTTTCTAATCAAAACATTTGAATCATAGTTGCTTATATATAAATAACAACAACAACAGCAACAACAACAATAATAATATAGCACTAATCTTGAATAAGAGCTTAACAAGGGTAAGGAATAGTGCTAAGAACTCTAAAATCATGCCTTACTTATCTTCTGAATAACACATCAAAGTCGATGTTATTAATAACTGCCCATTGATATACATTAATAATCTGAGAGAGAGATAAGCAGTTTTACAAGATCCATATAGCTATTAAAGTCGGGAACTAGGACATTATTTGGGGAAGTTAAGTTCCGCATGTTATGATCCTAATACTGACCTGTGGGGTAAGTAAAATGGAAAAGCATCAGGCTTTTCCGCCCTCCCACTGCGCATGTGCACATGGCCAAATGGCATGGCAAGGGACCTGGTGCGTTGTGTGCGAGGACAGAGGACTGCAGTGGAGTGTGGAGGAGTGCAGGGGAGTGTGGAAGGTTGCAGCAGTTTGTGGAGTGCTGTATGAAAACACCAACACATCTACTAGAACCAGTAATGAACTTACCCTGTATGGGATGGTTGCAGGACATGACCCTAGCTATAACCTAACTGTATTCTTGAATTGTTTTTGTAGGGCATATTGAATTGTATTTGCATTCACAGAATGTGTTTGGGAGTTTTCCTCCCTCTTTGACTTTTTTGAAGAGTTTGAATAGGTTGGTATTAGATATTCTTCATAGGTTTGGTAGAATTCACTGGAGTACCCATCTGCCCAGAGCTTTTGTTCTGGGAGAAACTTTTTATTACACTCTCAATTTCAGCATTTGTGATTGGACTGTTTAAACTCTTTCATCCTGGTTCAATCTTGGGAGGTTGTAAGAGTCTAATAATTTGTCCATTTTTTCTAAATTGTCCAATTTGTTTGCATAGATATTTTTATAGTAGGTTCTTCTATGTATTTCTGCAGTATCTGCTATAATTTAACTTTTATTCATTGCTCGTTCTATTGATTTGGGTTTTCTCTCTTCTTTTTTTATTCTGATTCCAAAATCAAACAATGATAGTACATGATTCTCTTCATTTGTGTGTATTCAATAAACCATTATTACCCTAACCTTACACAATTCTACTCCCACTCACCTTCTAATGCTATTATTGGAAACTATATTACTTTTCCACATGTTCTGAGCCCAACAATACATTGTATACATTTGGATATAAATTCCTTTCTAATGTAGTTAAAAGACAAAACAAGAAAGGTTAATTTGAATTAAATTTGTAAACTAGGGCCTCCCTGGTGGCACAAGAGGTTAGGAAGCAACCTATGAAGCTCTCTGCAGCCACTGCAGCATGAGTTTGATCCCCGGCGCAGCAGACCTCTCCTGACTCGCCCACTGTTCCCCTCAGCAGTGTATTTTAGTAGATCTGCCTGTTCTGCTCCCCACCCTGTCTCTGGTGAATCCTCTCACCTCCCAACACTTCTGGCCTGTACCCAAGTTCTTGTATGCATAAATAAATATTTTTTTTTAATTTAAATAATACAATTAAATTCTTTCCCTTGGATTTATTATGAATTGAAATAGTTTCCTGAGTCACTTTCAACTAGGGGTAGAATTGTGTTGCCTGAAAATATACATTCTGAAGTCTTCACCCATGCCCCCTCAGAGCATCTTGTTTAGGAAAAAAGTCATGGTAGATGTAATGTTGTAGGTGAGATAATGTCATACTGGACCAGGGTGAACCACTATCCAATAGGGCATGTATTCCAGTAAAATACAGAAAAATATGAAAGACCATACTGGGAAACCTTGAGATATTTATATAATAAAGTACTGTGAAATGACAGCAAAGACTTGTATATTATAAGCATGAACACATATGCCAACAGAACAAATTAAAATCTATCATCATTTGAAAAAGCAATAAACTCATGTTGATTAATTCATCCATTGACATTAATTTTGATTACTGCACATTATACTCACATAAGTAATTTTGTCTGTTGTTAATACATCTATTTTTGTTAGCACAGGAGTCTTTTAATAATATTTTATTTCTTCTTTTAACCATCTTAACGTTTAGAAACAATTATCTCTGGGGAACTAATAGATTGCTTATTTAAATATTTCTCCCACGTACGTGGCAATTAGTCCATTGCATCTTAAGAGATAAAGAAAGAACAATGAGATTTTTGCTGAGTAATCTCAGTAAATTACTCATGGAGACCTTCGAGGTTGATAGAGCCTTAGTGGAGCATTGCAAGGACCAAGGGGTGCTGGGAGTCGAGTTGTTCTCATTGGTACACAGATGACATGGGATAGCCCATATCCAGAGAACTCAGGAAACAATAAGAAAAGACTCTCATGTTTTCTGTTTCGTATCATCCTGATGGAAATGATCTGATGCCAATGGAGGGATTCTTAACTTTTAAAAATTATATAAATGTTTTCCACACATTGATTTGTGGAGTGAGATTTTAACCTGCATTTGCAGAAGTAATGTTTATAGAGTTATATGTGTGAATATTAATATTACGCAGAACACAAGTTATAGCAACATCCCTATTCTCATCTCTTTAGTTAAATGTAAAGTCTTGGTTGACTACTATATGGTTGTTAAAGCAAATATAAAATATTTTGGTCTCCATTTCCTGGCCCCAACTAAAAGACACAAGGTAGAACAAAGACACAACTGCCTTGGTCCTGGAGAAATTGTGCCCAGTAAAAATGCCATGGATGAAAAGGCAGCATTTTAGAAACTTCTGCCTCTGGACAAATAGGTAACATCAAAGAAAGACAAACTTCAAGATTTAGGGAAGGGCTTAAACTCCCAGATCACTGAGGATGAAGCTCTAAATATGGTAAATTTTAACAACCTTCCCTGTTCTTCTAAATGAGCAGACAACATCATGTAGTTATACACACCTGGTACCTGCCTAGAACTCTGAAATGTTTCCTTGTAAATTATATAAAGTCTTCATTGAGAGGCTCCAAGTTCAAGAACTTTTCCTGAAGTATCTGGAGATACCTAGGACCTTGAGACCTCAGTATATTTCTATATTAAACTCACATAATTTTTTGCCGATATTAATTTATTTCAACCAATAGTCCCCAATATATTTCTAGCTCCCCTCACAACCAATAATTACCAGATATACCTCAACAATAGAGGTGAACTTTCCTTCTTCTGACAACCTTTCTTAGAGCTGCCTTTATAGCTTGATTTCTCAGGCTATAGATCATTGGGTTGACTGTTGGGGGCACAACTGTGTACATAATAGTGAGAAACACATCCAGTGTACTTGGAGAGTCAGAAGGTGGCTTGAAAAATTCAAAGGCACTGGTGGAAACAAACAATATGACCACAGCCAGGTGGGGAAGGCAGGTGGAAAAGGCCCTAGCTCTTCCCTCAGCAGATGGCATCCTCAACACAGTAGAGAATATCTGGATGTAGGATGTTCCAATAAAGACAATGCAAGGAAATGCCATTAGTAACAAGAAGACACTGATCCAAATCTCGCTGATATATTCATTTGAACAAGAGAGTTTCAGGAGTTGTGGGATGTCACAGAAGAACTGATGAATGATATGGGAACCACAGAAGTGGATGGAGAAAGTACCAGCTGTGTGCATGGTTCCAGAAATGACCCCACTGATCCAGACTCCCAGGACTCCATGGACACAAGTGCTTGCATCCATGATGATTTCATAACGCAGTGGAAGGCAGATGGCCACATAGCGATCATAGGACATCACTGTGAGCATGGAGAGCTCAGCAGAACCACAGACAATGAAAGAAAAACACTGCACTATGCATTCCCTTAGGGAAATGTAGCCACTGTGCACGAAAGAGTTGTAAATGGCCCTTGGCACAGTCACAGAAATGTAGCACAGGTCCAGAAAGGAGAGATGTTTCAGGAAGAAATACATGGCTGAGTGAAGACTATTGTCCATGGAAATTGCAGAGATAATGAGGATATTGCCAGTTAATGCCACCATGTATAAGACTAAGAACAGAGAAGCATGGACCAGTTCTAACTCAGGCTTGGCAGAAAATCCTACCAGAAGAAACCCGTTCATAGTGAAATTAGCCATAGTCCTTAATTTTCCAGTGATACTGGGTGCAAGAGAAGATGAAACTATTGGAAAGAAAATTGTTATTTAAACCCCTAAGCCATCTTGGACTCAATGAATTAAGGCATGAAGATACCTGAGCAAGTCATTACTTCATCTTAAATCACAAATCATGTTGACCAATTTTAAATCACCTACAGTCAGGTCATGGAAAATTAGGTATGAAAGATTATAAATTTTAATATTGCCTTTTCAATCAGTTTAGGAAAAATGTAAATATATAATAGAACAAATAACATGCATTGTTCAAACATATAGGTGTGTTAATAGGAATATGGAACAATGACTGATTTAATAAAAAGCTCTATATAGTTCAAAGACTCACATTTACAAATGTTTCTTAGCTACCTATTCATTTTCAGTCATCATTCTATCTATTCAGAATGTACTCCAACCACAAGGTTTTATTAGTGGAATTTTATAATAATATTAGTTGGGCCTCCCCGGTGGCGCAGTGGTTGAGCGCTGGGTTGCGAAGCTGCCTGCAGCCTCTGTAGCGCCGGTTCGATCCCTGGCTGCTCCCCGGCCACTGGAGGAAGGTCCCACATGGTGCACAGACCTCTCCTGCTGCCCGCTGCTCCCCTCAGCAGTGTGCTTCAGTCTGCCTGCTCTGCTCCCCGCTCTGGCTCTGGTGAATTCTCTCACCCTCCCGCATTTCTGACTGTACCCAGTGCTTATATAAATAAATAAATAACCCTTTAAAAAATATATTAGTTACTATTAGTAGTGGAGTTTTACATTTGAGAAGAAAAATGCCACAGCTTTATTTTCATAGTTATTTTCTCCATAAATAAAATATGAAATACAATAATTAATACAAGTATCTATGTAATAATTATATATATCTTTGTCATTATCATAAAATAACAGAAATTAATTAACATTGTTGATTTCCCAAAAGAAATTCAAAACAGCAGACTTTCCCCAGGTTATTTGCTTAAGAAAATAGCATAACTAATGCACACAAGAAAATATAATTTACTCTAATTTTTAATTTAATAAAATGTACACTATGTGATATGATTTTACATTCAACATATTGGTCAATAATAAAAAAATTCCCAGCTCTTATGAAGAAAGACATCTAGTGATAACATGTATTTGAAATGGTGTAGCCTAGAGTCCTAAATTGTGTAAAATTCAATAAAGAAATAATAAATAATGTGGTTTATTTCATAAAGTAGACACAGAATAAACTTAAAATATGAAGGTGATATGTTCAAACTTCAATGCATAATTTCTGCAAGCAGAAAATTATTTAGCAGAGATCCCAAATCATTTGCAATGAAACAATAAAGCATGATGTATATATGAGTTCAATGAATTCATTTGATAATTGCAGTGAAGAAAACTATGTTCATTGAAAAGTAGTGCAGTTGCAAAAGCTATTGAGAAGTCTACGAAGGTGGACTTGAAAATTTTCATTTTGAAGTATTTTTTCTGAGATGGGACCTGACCACTTTTTGGATGACATAGGAGGAAGGAAGATATTATATAAACTTCATGTTCTCAGGATCTGTAAATGCATAGAAGCATAGAATAAAGCATATAAGTAATAGAAACACATAATAGAGTAATTATTTCTTAGTGATGAGTGAATGTGTTTATTGCTCATTTATAGCAATTAAATCAACCTGACCTGAGACACTTACGGAAATGATCCTCCTTTTTAGTTTATCAGCCTGAAATCCACGATGCACCTGCAGTGATTTGCTGAGAAGCTGGGGGTGATGGATGCTTCAAGCTTCTGCAGTGAACTATGTAAATTAACTGGGAAATTATTCAAGTCTGAGATGGATGGAGAGGACTTGGCATAGATGAGACAGTCCCCTTGCACACACAAGTAAACATTTAAAAATTGGGACAATGTGGGCTTCCCCTGGTGGTGCAGCAGTTCAGCGCTGGGATGCAAAGCTGCCCGCAGCCTCTGCAATGCCGGTTCGATTCCCAGCCACCGGCGAGGGTCCCATATGGCATGACAGACCTCCCCTGCTGTGCCCGCTGCTCCCCTCAGCAGTGTATTTCATCAGTCAGCCTGTTCTGTTCTCCACTCTGGCTCTGGTGAATTCTCTCACCCTCCTGCACTTCTGACTGTACCCAGTTCTTGTATAAATAAATAAATAAACAAACAAATAAATAAATCTTTTTTTAAAACTTTGGGACAATATGTGTGCGTGCATGTGGGTATGTGTATGTCTAGGTGTGGTCCACTGGAGTATTAAAATACCTTTAAATTAACCCTGGTAATTTTATATCTAAGCAACAATGAAGAGAGACACCTGAGGTTTCTAGAGATTATCAAGGTACTTATAATCTAGAGATTATCTACTTATCAAGGTAGACAAGGTATATTGAACCTCCAGAAACTTCCATTTCTAAGTGGGAGAATATTGCTTATTTTTTGTTTAGAAAAACAAAAAAAGTCTCCATTCCACATGCATGGAAGTTTATTTAATTTTACCCAAAACTATTTTGATTCACCCAAAAGTAAACGTAAATTTTGGGTTCTCCCTGGTGGCTCAGGCGGTTGAGCATCACACTGTGAAGCTGTCCACAGCCTCTGCAGCATGGGTTTGATCCCTGCCGGCTGGCGAGAATCCCACATGGCATGGTAGACCTCTCCTGTCTTGTCTGTTTCTCCCCTCAGCAGTGTATTTTGTCAGTCTGCCTGTTCTGTTCCCTGCTCTGTCTCTGGTGAATTCTCTCACCCTCCTGCGCATCTGGCCTATACCCCAGCTCTTGTATAAATAAAATAAATCTTTAAAAAAAAAAGTAAACTTGCCACATTATGGGTTACACGGCTGTAACTAAGACTTGCTTTATATATTGTTGCATTAACTCCCTGTGATACCAACTACAGCTGCAGGAAAGAATGAAGGGATTTAATTGTCTCTTTTGCTGATTCTTAGAATTATTTCAGGGTTTTTTTTTTGTCTTATGACATATCAATTTAACTAAGAATATAATATTAGGCCCTTTTTATGTTAATGAAATTCCTACCTTACGTGTTGATAAGAATTTTACATTGGTTTTATATCTTTAGTTATACTATTTCAGTGTCCACAAATCATTTCCTATACTATAATATGAGATACTCAAAATCTAAGATTGCTATCATAGTTTAGGAAAACATTAATATTTCTGAACATTGATGTTTAATGTTTAGGTCAATATAATGTTTCTAAAACCTTACAAAAGTCATTGATAATGTAATAACAATCTATTTAATGGTTTTGCATGCTACTTTTTGTAAATTCATTTCTTTGAAATATTAAAATAATGACCATGCATATGTCCAGTCCAGAATTTCTTGAAATTTCTCTAACTCAGAAACAATCAGAAGTCCTGATGAATGGTTATGACAAGAAGCATGGTCTCTGCTTATGCTCTTCTCATCTATGATTGCTTTGAATTTTTAACTTTTTGGAGATGGAAATGTGATTATTTCACTTTGATTAGAATATCTGATTCATTCTTCATTTTTAAATTTTTCTGCCACATTTCAACAATTATCTGTTACCTCTGATTTGGAAAGCAGGGCCTATATCTTATGAGTCATAGAACAATATGAATACAGGGAATATCTGACAGTATCATACCATTATATGCTCATTCTGCATTATTTCTATGATGTTACCTAAAGAAAGCATTACTAAGGAGTTTGGAATTGCACTCCACAAAATGTTTCTGGAATGGAAGGAATTTACAATGGTCCCTAACAGATCCCCAATTTCCACTTAAATAATCATAGTTCATGCACATCATTTACAAGTTAAATAGTACTGACTGGTGTTCTCACCCACTCAAAACCAGTTGCTTAGAGCTTTCATTTTTCTGTGTAATCTATCTTTTTAGAACCTAAGGAAACTCACCAGAACATATTTGAGAACTTCTATCCACAGCAGAAGGAGAAGCTATCAGTGTGAGCAGCTGCATTTAACTCAAAGTTAACCTCTGAATTCAGTACCATTCAGAAGAGTGTGAACTTTGAAGAAAAAGTAAGTCCATTTCAATCCTTCTTTGGCCACTGGAGATCAGATTATGCAATCTCTCTGCACAAGCAGAATGTCTTGTTGCTGTGGGTATTTGGTGTTCAGGGTAAATACTCTGGGGCCAATATACCCTGAAACTAAAACTTGCTATTACACTCATTGTTCCTACAGAGTATTTTTCTATTGAGTTTCTTTAATGAATACACATAGTTACCTGGAATTTCAGCTTAGGTGTGTTTATTGTACAAATCTTTGAAAAAATTCAGAAATATCCAATAGAATCTTTATTCTATTAATTAAATTAACAGGTTATTAATTTAATAAATAGTTTAGGTTATGATGCCTGATAGACATGTCCTTTATCTGAAAAGGGTTAATTCACAATAGATAACTACCAATGATGCAGCTAAATTCTCCCTAATATTTATCACTAAATGCCAAACTAATTTCACTTTGAGTGAGGTAGTAACAAATACCCATTCTGTAAGAAGCCTGGGTGTGTACTCCATGTTTTTCCCTAGTACAAACATAAGAATTATTGAAAATAAACTCATTGTTTAAAGGTTATATTCAAATTAGAAGAGGTGACACTGTGCATTCAATTATTACAAAACATGTCTTATCCCAGGCTCTCATTTCAGAAATGTGAGCTTTTCCAGTCCTAAAAACACCACAAAATAGAATTTAGATAGTTTTCAGGTAAACTGACATTTTAAAACAAACTTGTAATTAATGATCAATTCACCCACATTTGTAATCTAAGAATAGCATACAAGGATTTAAGTTATGCATGCAGCCCATGTATCTGTCTGAATTGGAAAAAAATATGTCCTCTACTAATTAATGAAGAAAAATCTATAGGTTTCCGAAGATATGGGACAATAAGTAAATAAGTCTAAAAATATTTTGATATAAATGTGTGTAGGTTTGTAGATTGTTGAACTCGTATCTGGCAATCAGATAAGGAAT